GAAAATAAGCTAGCTATTATACGTCAAAATACAGCTGCAGCCATTTTGGTTCTACACAAATGTCACGTGACCCAGAGACTACTGGGGGAGGTGTAAGGCTTCACTGTGTCGCACAGATAAATGTTATTTTACCTGTTATATGTGAATATTATCGTGATTTACATGGAATTTACTGTCAGACAGCTGATCTATGCAAATCAGATCCATACTTGTAAAAATAAACAGCACATCCTGTCTATATTTGTTCAAATCAGTGTGCATGAAAGGGGCATAACAAGGTCACTACAAAGAGGTTTTACACGACCCTTTACTGGTGATAGGAGGCTAGTAGCCTACCAGTTAAGACACCAATAGGTAGGCTACAGATGGCAGGCTAGCAATAGTCATTAAGAAGGAGATGGGAAAGGCATTCAGAGTAGATGACCATTACATGTATGTAGGATCTGTAGGCCTATGTGTAATGTGTATTTGTAAAGTGCTTTGAGAGTCGTTGATAAAGCGCTATAATAAATATAAGGATTATTATTATTATTATTATATCATTTTCTGACATAAAACTACAAATACCACCCTGTGAGAATGACTGATTAGTAATTTTCCTGCACTCAAAACCTTAATTAAAAGTGAGTGTTATCATCAACATTTGTTTAAATTATCCAACGTGAAAAAAACGTATTCTGCAGTAATATGTTAACTGTTAGTGTTATTATGATGTTTCAATATTAATGTTACTTCTGTGTGTGTTGCATTCTAATGCTGTTATACGCTAAATTGAACTCATTTACCCGGCAGTTGGGTAGCTTAATCTACAGTAATGCATCGCTTTCTATAAAATCAATATATCTATAAGAGATATCACATATCTATAAGTGAGAGAAAAGGTTTATACAATCAGGAAGATAGGTTTTTTTTTTTTTTTTCCAAGGATAGGATGATTAAAACAAGGTTGAATAAGAAAAATATGCCACTTCAGATTTAAAAAACCCACTTTATTATACAAAATTATACAAAACTCTATTCCAAATATCACATACCTCACTTAAGTTGTACATTGGGAATAAATGTATCTACAAGAGAGAAGGATTTTGATTTTTAGAATTAGGCCAACCAAATGTCATATGGCCAGCACAAGCGAATGCAAAGAAAATGTAGTATTTCAAATGTGTCCAATTAGACAATAAAGATTTGAAGGAAACAACAAGTTTGCACCGCACAGAGCCAGCATTGAGTCTCTAAGGTAGCTTAAAGGAGACAAAATCAGGCATGATGCACAGTCATTTCTCTTTACTTCATTAGGCCGAGCACCATTTACCTACAGACCAGTTTGGACATTGGTGTCTGACAAAGAATGCACTGATGCCATCTAGTGGTGTAAATCAATACCCTGACAGGAAAGACATTATCACCAGAACTGAGCTTTGAAGTTACATTTCCGAAAAAAGACCACTGTGGTAAGTGTGGTATTAGATTTGTGTATCTAACACACCTCTCATCACAGTAAATTCTCCAGAAAAACAACTTTCATTCCTCTTCACTCGTTCGCATTCTTCTTAAAAATTTGCTTGCAGACTTCTCCTTCACAGTACAGCTCCTGAGGGTCACAGAAATGTACATTTAATATGATGTTAAGGTAACACACTATGGATGAATAGGCTTCAAAACCTAACTAATAAATATCACCATTAAAGTTCCTTAGTTGAATACTAACATTAAGACACTTAAGTATGAAACGTTTTCTGAAGTTTCATGTCCAAAATGTAACTCAATAATTGTTTTATTTAATGTGTGATCATTTACATTTCCTCAACAGAAATATAAACTTAAAAACAACCAAGGTTTTAAATTCTTGCCCAAATTCTGAAACTTGACTAGTGATGAAAATACAATGTTAATGCCTCTAGTGTCGACATGCACTCTTCTTACCAGATGTAGCTTGTCCTCTTCAATCCAGTGAGCCCAACCCCGGTTCTTCTTCTCTCCAATCTGTTCACACACCAGTTTATTCCCCTCCCATGTCACCAGTGACTGCACAGATGGAAAAGAAAAAGAGAGTTTAAATCACAACAAAGAACAGGTTTAGCAGCCCATACAAAATGTTCTGGGCCAAGTGGTTACAGCGCATGCCATATAACCACCATTTACCATGCTCCTGCCTTAGGCCCTTTGTTTGTGTCATACCTCTCTCTCTCTCTTGCAAAAATAATGTTTTCACTTTGAACAAACAAATCATCAGCCATTTATCTTCACCTTGACACGTCTGTTGTCCAATCCCTTGGTGAACTCCTCAAACTCCTGACCCACTCTGAAGGCGATGGTGTAGTTTTTGACCTTGCTGGTAGTTTTGATGGTGTACTGGTCCCCCTGCTGCTCGATCACCTTCTTCACCTTCACCGTCAGAGCAATCTTTCGTAAGCAAGGGCTGATACCTGGAAGGGTAGAGGAAGTGTTGAGTAAAGTAAACAGAGAAAAAATCTAAGAAGATAAAATCTCACACACTATTATATATATAATATATAATATTGTGATATATATATCACAAGGTCCCATGCATACCATACATTTTGCTGTTGTGTAAAGATTTACACTGCTTAATGCGGCAAAGTATTTCCCTTTGTGCCCTATTTAGCGTTTACATTTATTTATTTAACAATTACTTAACCAGAAGATTGCAATTTAAATTCTAATGACTCTTTTTTCAAGAGAAACCTGGTCAAGATAGGCAGCAGCAGGATAAACAAAAAAACATTACAGGCAGAAAACACAAAACGAAAGCACATTAAAAAGAAGGAATCCGCCTTTGTATAATGCTTTCTTTTTGGACTAAGAAACATTTAACCAGATTAGCACATCAATTTTCATCAATTTAACAAATATTTAATATCTGAAAACATTGTTGGATTAAATCAATCCTAAAGGACTTACCCAGTGCAGTCATGTAGCCCTCCAAGTTGACATTGCTCATGATGTCCCATGTATCACAGAGGCTGGCTGGCATTTTGATGACTTTCTTTCCCTCCTGAGACCTGTGCGTGCAAGTTAAATGTGATCTTCAATCTGCTTAGCTGATGAAGAGTCCTGAAGAGAGACTAAGAACATGCTATTTGGTGAGAGACCTGGAGGTTTTAAGGTAGGTGTGCCTTCATCCTATTCGCTGTCCACGGTTTGAGGCTGAGGGAGGTGCTCTCATCAGTGACAACATGTCAGACTGGTCCCACCACAAAGATCACTGAATAACAAACGTTATTTGTGTCAAGTGTCACAGATTCATTTCACACAGATGCAAACAAACACAAGAACAAATATATTGACCTTTATTGGTTAAGATTCCTGCTCTGATTGATTTAGACTATTTATCTTATCTTATTTTTGATATATAAGCTTCAATTTTTAGAATTATGCACATATTGTCAATATTTTCTGTGTGTCAACAATGGAGAAAAATTTAATTTTCTTTGACATTTTTCTGGGGATGTCCCAACAGACAATACAGCAAATGTTGAAATATTGCGATACTTTCATCAGTGGGCTATAGGCTCAATCAACATTGTGTTTCCTCCTTTGGAGATAGATAGTGCCTTAAGTAACAGACCTTTATTTCAATGAAAATCTTCAAGATTGCTTAAATATTTCTAAGAAAGTTAGATTATTTATGATCCTTCAAGTGTGGTATTTTTGTGTCCTTTAACAAGTGACTTTTTGTGGGTAAAAATGTTATCCATAAAAAATAGAACACAAAATCTATCCTACGGATATAGGTAAGCCCAATATTAAAATACTTTACAAATGTGCACACTTTTTGTTGAGGTTAGCAATAAGTGCGTAAGACGAGTCATATATTTCATTTGTGCACCTGCAGTTTTTTTATGACGATGACCTTTGTTAGGATGGCACACCTATTTATGAAATGGGGAAATGATAATATAATAAGACTAACAATCATTATGCTGTGGTTGTGAAAGGATTCGCCGCACCTTTAGTGGGAACGAGAATAAACCACATGGAACTTGTCCAAACATTAAGCTAGTTCTTCTTCCTCGTGATTTCAACTAAGCAGCAATCCGTCGCTCTGGTGTGATGCAGATAAACTTTGTCAAGGTTTTTTCCCACACATTACTCTACTTGTGCATACATTCTGTCATTGGCAACTGAAGCAGACATGAGTTGTTTAATATGTAAAAAAAAACGTGACCTTGTAATGTAATGAGAAACAACCGTAGTTTAAACCGTTTAACAGTTACTTCACGTTTGTACTGTATTCAGTTTTGATGCAATCTAATACCATTGAGCGAATAATAAGAGGGAAACAACTTCAATACTAAGGAAAGCAATGAGTTTTAACTGGCCACGTTTGTTATTTCAGCTATTATCTTCTATCAATTGATGATTACCTGAAAGATAAGTTAACACACATGATTTTAATCAAACAAAGAAGGTGTTGTTTTTGCACTTCCTTACATGAGGAAGTTAGATGTCTATCTGTGTGGCTATATTACATTACATTACATGTTACTTGTTAGACGGTTTTTTTCCAAAGCGACGTACATACTCAATACTGTGGGCAATCCCCAAAGGAGCAATTTGGGGTGAAGTATCTTGCCCAGGTACACAACGACATGCTGACTGCAGTGGGGTTTGATCCCAACACCTATAGCATTGTGATTCCTGATGGTAACAAATAGCCTCCAAGTCTTAAAACCGAAAGAGTTGTTTATTTCATTTCAAGTCAATACAAATCACACATTTACTTTCAAACTGGGAGCACTGAAAAATAAACATGTTCAAAGAATGAAGGAGTGAATAAACCAAATCCTGCTCTAGGTACAAAACATGTGACAGGTTCAGAGAGTATATTGAAGCATTGAGATAAAGTAAGTTCAACTTTTAAAATTAACTTGTTCTTAATCATACTTCATTTTCATCATATTTCATTGGCACAGTTGCCCGTTTTCAATGACCTCTCTACCAGATTAATCATATATATTCATATATATTTTTATTTTCACTGAACAGCGTTGTTTCAACTGAAAAAGGTTACTGTTCCTACCCTGACAAGAATACAGCTACACAGAATGTCAAGGGAAAACCCACAAAGTCTAGACTTCCTTTAAAGAAGATTTCCTGCTTCTTCTGTACATATTCAAAGGGATTTTAATTAATCTATTCTTACATATTATATAGTGAAGTATAAATGTTATATATTCAATCTTTAAAAGTCACCAGAAGGCAGGAAGCAATGTTTCTATAACTTAACCGGAGAATTGTCACAAGTGTGAAGAATAAATGGATAACAACACAGTTTGTGTGTCTGTGATTCACTGTATGCTGACTACTTCACACAAAATGGTGAATCCCTAATTCAATAACCACGAACTGGATCTATTTTCAACAACAGCATTGACATTTAGATGACCTCCCAGCCAACTGTTCAGTTATTCTGCTTGTGAGTAATTTACTTCAGTCACTTCACCCTGTTCTGTCTATGCACACTTATAAAAACAAAACGCCTAATAGTAAAAATCATTGTTCTGTATAGTAGTAGGCACTTTTGGAAGTTAAACAAAACTGCCTGTATTGCTTATCCAATTTTGATTCACAGTAAACATACAGCACTTGATGTAGAGAGCTATCTTCTCTGTGTTTTGCAACAGTAAACGTCCTCAGCTTTAGGAGACTTCTGTGTTCTTCTGAATAGGTGCCAGTACTACGCCTGCATTTCTCTGCTCGCTCTCAGCGCTGTACAGCGCATGTTCTTGTATGTAGTGAACCACGCCGTCAGGCAGCAGGTACCTGACGCTCCGACCTCGACGCAGCGACCGCCGCACCTGAGTGGCTGAGATCTCATTGGTCACCCACTCGCGGACCACGTGGATGTTCTGGCGATACTGCCACAGCTTGTCTGACTGGTGGATGAACTTGTGGGGGTCACTGCCGCTGCGGGTGATGCAAACCATACCGTAGCGGCCGACAATTTCATCGATATCCTCCTGCTTCCACAGGTTGGGGACTCCGAAGGACTCCAGAACATCGGCCCCACACAGAAACATCATCTGAAGGCCGTCTGTGCATGAACAGAGAAAAAAACATTTATATTAATTACTTACTTGTTTGTTGGTTGTACAAAGATTCTTAGGGATTGGAAGATTGCATTGACAAAAAACTAATTAAAAGAGACCATAAAATGATTGTATAATCCAACACAACAGCATATTAAAATGGAATTGAAGCTTGGAAAACATGTGTTTATAAAGGCAACTTTACCTAAAGAAGATTTAACAAGCAATATTTTTGATGTTGTCAGCCTTATATCATATTTTTGTTTAGTTATGATGGACGTCATTGGCACAGTTGCCCGTTTTCAATGACCTCTCTTCCAGATTAACCATATATATTCATATCTTTTTTTATTTTCACTGTACAGCGTTGTTTCAACTGAAAAAGGTTACTGTTCCTACCCTGACAAGATAACAGCTACACAGAATGTCGAGGGAAAACCCACAAGCAAAGTCTAGACTTCCTGGAAAGAAGATTTCCTGCTTCTTCTGGAAATATTCAAAGGGATTTTAATGAATCTATTCTTACATATTATATAGTGCAGTATACATGTTGTATATTCAATCTTTAAACGTCACCAGAAGGCAGGGAGCAATGTTTCTATAACTTAACCTGAGAATTGTCACAAATGTGAAGAATAAATGGATAACAAGACAGTTTGTGTGTCTGTGATTCACTGAGGCTGTCTTGCCTGTCTTAACTGTAGTGGGTGTGATCAGGTGTCTCCCATCACACACCCCGACCCCATTGTTCCCTGTTCCCATGAGTTATACTGGATAAAGGATGAATAAAGGGGAGGCAGGATCAGTCTTGTCTGGAATAAGGAATTGGAAAAGGCATGGGTTGAAAAGAGCAACATTTAAGTTATACAATCGTAATTTTCCTACCTTTCTTTTGATGAGACAAAGCTCCAAAATGATTCTCCTCCATACGTCTCTTTTTGGCGTACTTGACCGTGTCCACATCATCGGTATTCTGCTCTGCCTCAAGCATTTCCTTATAGTAATGCCTAAGTGGGTCCAGACAAAATAATATAGCATGGAAAGATGTTTGGGAGATAACCGCATTGCAAACAGTTTCAAATACAGGACGTATGAGTCATTTTTACAGTTAGTATCCAGCCAGTTCTGCATACTAAAAGTTTCCCTCTTGAGACTTTTTCCCTTGTTCATGCATGCACCCTGGAAGTTGGTGAGAATCATTCCTCCTGCTTATGTACACATGTCATTTATTGGGCCATAATAAGCAATAATGTCACATAACAGGTCAGAAGTTTGATTTAAATACTTATAAATGCACATTTAAAGATGTCATTTTCAACCGAAGAGTAAAAATAAGCTTCAAGCATGCATTCATGAAGTGAAAGGAAACCCTGTGTGACACTGAACATGAACAACTTTGTGATCTGAATACAGTTGCGAGGGTTGAACGATGAACAGCAGGGATGACTCAAAACAAGAGTAACGATCACATCAAATCCTAAACTGCTACAGGCACTGCTTGTAAATCATTAGTCATTACATCGTTGTTACTGGTTTGATGAATGGGTGGCTTGAGGTGACTGACAAAGAAGAATTAGAGGAAAACAGAAAACTGCAAGCAAGGAAACTCTGGTTGAGGACATCAAAATGTCTGTGAGGATGTGTCATTTTGGCTGATTTCTGCACACGCAGCAGAAATACGCACTTACAATAACAAGACATGAGAATTGTCAACCTACCTAACAACTTTGGCTGTCTCCACCCACTCTGGCTGCAAGCTCTCCCAGGGATCAACTGTGATCCAGTCCGAGCTGTCTGTTGACAATTTGGCCATCTCCAGGCGGTGACGGGCCTCAATCAAACCCTTCTTCTTATAGGCATCACCCACCGGAGAGATGATGCCTTTCACAACCCTGTACTGACCTGGAGCATTAAAGAAGTGGTGTGAGCACATGGTAAACAGAAATGGCACAGCAGATGTAGTAAACTGTTAATTTGTGAATTAATTATTGATTAAAAATATATCCTATTGCGATTATTTTTGGCTGATATTACAATTGCAATTGATGGGAATGAAAATATTTTCCTAACTTTCCTCATTTTATTAGAAGGTTATTTTGCAATGATTATGATATGATTTCTTGGGACAGTATGTAGTATACAATTTGTACAGAACATTTCAACGGCACCACAATATTTTATATATTAATATATATATATTTGTTTTACTTAAACTAATATTGCACTTGTCCCTATTGCAATTTTGAGAAATATTAGAGTTACTGTTCATCCTTATATCATGATGGTTTAACAGAGTAAAGCAATGGTGAAATGTAAGTACAGATAGTACACAGGTGCTGTACTTGTGTGAAAAATGTTGAGGTACATGAGTATTTTAATATTTTCTACTTAAAATGTGTATTCAACTATATTTCGGTGGTGTGTAATTTACTTTAAATCAACTAAATTTTTTGACAGAGCTGTTAGCAGTTAATTAACAAACACTCAAAAATAGCACGATTATACATGTAGGCACTAGTAATTGAATTTGTTACATTTTAAGCAGGCCTATATATGTTGCTGCTAATAACAGTGTATTTTTTTACTTAAAGTAATTTCACTAATGCAGGACATAATGTATTTGAGGTATAGGAGTACTTACACATTGCTGCGTTTGCTTGAGTTAAGGATCTAAATACTTCCTCCACCACTGTTTCTAGCTCAGATTTTGAGGTATTAGCCTCTGATATCTCTAAAATGTCTATTTCTCATTTCACTCCACCTGTGTCCTCCAGATGGTCTCGAGCCAGTTCAAACATCCTCAGGTGCATGTTGGTGATGGGGTTGAAGGACCCACATGCCAGCAGGACCACTTTGGTTAAATGCTGGCCATCCATGTCTCATACTGTGGCTGTGTTTACACTATAACAACAATATTGAGAAGAAATCACAGACAGTAGTTAGCAAGTTTATTGCTTTTCGAGGACTATATTTTAAATATCCGGTCTTTGCACTGTTGGAGGAGCCTGTGACCTACGTTTTTCATTGCCATATATACACTGTAGCTAATGTGCAAATGACAATAAAGCCTTGTATCTTGAATCTTGTAAACAAGCTCTTAAGGAAAATATACAAAAGACGAATGAAATTATATGAAGTTTAATAGAAAAAATGTATGTTTGTTAAAAACAAACAACAGAAGGTATGTAAAAGACCAACCAATTATTGAATATTAATACAAATTAGCTAGGTTTCAGCTTGTATAGAACAAAAGATGGAAGGATACAAATCAAATTAAATTCTCCTGTAGATAATACCTAACGGTGAATTAAATATACTATTTTAAGTTATATTTATTTGACTTTAGGAACAGCACAATATTACAGATTAAAGAATATTACTTCTGTATGTTTTTATGTTCCCACAAAGAGCATGGGTTGAGGTGCCTCGATTGTTTTGGTCTAAAAAGCCCACAAATGTCGGACCCCTTTTTATCCAAAAGGTAGACACCATTCATTTTAGAGAAGGTTATGAAGGTGTAATCAAAGAAATGGACGTCCTGTATTCGCTATATATAAGTGAATAACTTTATAGTATAATTTGAAAGTGAAACCAATGCGGTGAGTAAACTTAGGTTAGCATTGTCGTTAGCAACGCCATTAATTCGTTAGCTTTATAAAGTATTATATAATAGGCAACGTAAACCTTCCATTTGGTACAGGCTGCTCAAGCATACAACTCATGAAATCAAGGCTTAGCTAAGACAACAAAGGAGGCGTGTTTTTTACAACATATAGAGAAGTATTGTAAATATTCAATACTACCAGGAGAAACAGCGCAGTCAGCTGGGCTGCTGTTACGTATGGACGGCTTCCTGTATGGATGATACAACGAGAGATCTGATTGGTCACATCGACCAGGAAGCAAACAGCCGCACCCACACTGCCGAGCTGCGTTCACAAGCACAAACACACGGACACCAACAAGCGACTCGTTAAACACTAAATATTCTGAAACGTCAAACATCAAGAATATATTTTTCGATGAAATTCAAGAGACAATTGTGTTGTTTATTCGTCAAGCTGGTGTACATATTTAATTCATCGCAGGACTGATTTACAACTGTTTCGGTGAGATGTTTTCTTTTAGCATGCTAGCTTGCTATTCAGATAAGTAAACAACGTTGAGTGTTATATAGCAAGGTCTGATATTCCAGCAATTACACTCATCCACAGTTTGACAATATAGTTAATGTCTCGCTAAATGTTGAACAATTTTGTTTAAATGCTGACTCCCAACAACGTCATTCTGATTACATATTTATAGAATGCTAGGTGGACTTAAAGGATCTGTCCCTAAGTACCTAGAGCAACTGTGTTTTTCAGTATTAAATAGTAAGAGAATTATCTTCGCAGTTCCTTTTGTGTAAAAACGGGGGGGTTTAGATGTTTCAAATGCAACTTCAATTGTAAAAATCTGTTCGACCATGGTGGGGATACAAACAATCAAGAAACTGTCTTGTCTGCACATTTTAGGGCGTATTGAGGAGAATAACATCAGTGGGTTATAAGCTGTGGATGACCTTTGATCTAGGTCATATGTTGTTGAGAGTATGTAAAATGATATTGAGCTTGGGAACATAGATATGCTACCATACTGTGTTACTAATACAAAATGAAGTTGTACGCGTGTTCACTGCTTTATTCTTTGTTTGCATTCTCAATAGGTAACATCAAGTTTTTTTTTTTAACCAAGCATGGCTTCTCGAGGGAAATCAGAAACTGGAAAGTTGAGGCAAAATATGGAGGAGCAACTTGACAGACTGATGCAGCAGCTTCAGGATCTGGAGGAATGCAGGTGAAATTAATGATGATTCAAACTCACTATTAAGCTGTTACGGGTTTACCAAATGTGACTCCTATCTGTGTCTAATATTGATCTAGTCTATGTCAGAAAGTACCTCTACACATTTCCCCAATATCTCTGGTCCTTGTTTTAATTCCAGAGAAGAACTGGATGAAGAAGAGTATGAGGAGACAAAAAAAGAAACCCTGGAACAGTTGAGTGAATTTAATGACTCCCTGAAGAAGATCATGACAGGAGACATGACACTTGTGGATGAGCTCAGTGGAATGCAGCTGGTATGAACAACCAATAGATTCTGTGCAGCTAGTGTGTATTAAGAAACACTTAAAGACATCAACATTTATAGAAAGTAGCTTATAAAATATTTATGTTTTAAACATATGTTAAACATTTGTGAAGCCTTACAGTTTCAAAAATGTTTGTGTGTTCATCAGGCAACCCAGGCTGCCATCAGCCAAGCTTTCAAAACCCCAGAGGTGATCCGGCTCTTTGCCAAGAAGCAGCCAGGACAGCTGAGAATCCGACTAGCAGAGGTTTGCATTGTTTGTGTGATGCACAATAGTTTATGTTTATTTCAACTGCTCGAACACTCCTTAGTGTTTGATTGCTGTTGCTTGGCCTGAAAATTGTGGTACTAGTGTGTGGTATTCTGTGCAGATGGATCGAGATGTGATGGTGGGGAAACTGTCGCGGGATGTGCACACGCAGCAGAAAATGGAAATCCTCACAGCCTTGAGAAAACTTGGAGAGAAGGTGAGGAAACGCTCCCAGCAGAGATGTGATGTTTTTCCACAGGTTCACGGGTGATTCAGAGGCTTGTGCTCATGAGTCCACATAACCTATTTTAGTCTTGTATCACCAGACTGTCACACTAGTTGCTACAACACCCCTACACCTCACTTCAGAAGGAGCACTACCCAAAATGCATTTTTCTTTTGTGTCTGTTTCTTTACAGCTCACTGCAGATGATGAGACTTTTCTCACTGAGAACGCTACAGCTATTCTAAGCCAGTTTGAAAAAGTGACGGCAAACTTAGGTGAGAATAAACGTGTGATTTCATTAATATAACCCAATCCTTAAAATGGTCAATCGTGGAAGTTTATTGATGAACATTCCTATATCTACAACCTTGTTTTGTTTTCTCTTTCAGGCTCTGAAGACAAAATAATGGCTTTAGCTAGCTCTGGTGTGAAAACCAAGGCATAGTAATTTTACCAAATGTTAATTTTTAACTCAGTGACTTTGTTTTTAACTAACAACAAAAAGTGCCAATTGATCGTTGATCCTGTAAACAATCAGTGCACTTCTAGGTGTTGCTGTAGAAGCTAACACTTTTAACCAGTGTTGTTTTATACACCTCAACGTTTTTAGATGTCTTATTTTTTTGGAGGGGTGTAAAAATGTATTTGAGGTACGAGAGTATGATTTTGATTGTATGAATGTAAAGGATAGTCAAGGCAGTTGAAGAGAAAAACTCGGCTGTGATTTGTGTTTCTTGCGCTAATGCTAAGTCTATCCTTCCTTAAAATCTGAACATTGTTGTTTTTAAGATTGTTGATCTCAAGTTCTGCAATTATTCAATGTGTCATTTTATTTTAACTAAACTGTGCTGTTTACAGGGATTTGGACAAAACAACAAAGTAACTAACACTTTTCTACCAAAACATCTGACAATCACCTCCACAAGTCAGTACCTGAATCACAAAGGGTTTAGAATCATTAAAATACTAAATAATAGACAACACATGCAAGATATGATAATAACAAAGGCTTATGGCTTTAATGAGTAACAGCTCTCTGACAGAAATAGAATGAGAATCAGAATGATTAGTAAACACTGCAGTCACTACTTCAGATTTTAATCTTTGTGTCTCAGCAAAATATACTTACTATAAGCCTGCATTGAGACTGCATCCATCCAGTGCAAACACAGTCTTGTGATGCATAACTCAGTGAAATGAGCACCAATCTGGACTGAACAAATATGATCAGATGAGACTTTGGCTAGTTGGCCTGCGCTGTGATTGGAATACCCCGGATGGATTTGTCGCCATCTGTGAAACATTGTCGTGGACCTTGTGATGGTTTCAACATCCAACCCATGAGAGTGATTCAGCCTGATTAACAGTCTGTGAGGAACAGCCAGTAACATTTACATTTAGAGTACCAGATGAAGCCTGAACTGTTGTATTTGTGGTCCTCTTAAAATGATAGAGACCCAAGAGAGTTAGAAACAAGAAAGGCTAACCAGAATGAAATAAAAACAACTGTTCAATCACTAAACATGAGTGATTCAGATGTAAATACCATGGGGCTGAATGCACTAGATGTTCACCTCATAACTACAGGACAATCTTAAAAATCTAAATAAAAGAATAGGATATGTTCACACATTTCACATCCAGGACTACACTTTGAAAGCTTCTGGATATGTATTTGGTGTCAGGAGTTTCTATTATCTTGTCCACCCTCTATGTATTCATTGATTATCAAAAATGATAAAGTGTGCTTCAATTGACAAGTGTTGTAATATGTTTGCAGGAATCAACTTCAATGTTGCATTGTATTTTAATCTATTTAAATGTTTACAGCATCAAACATGGTTGATATTCAGCTTTTAAGACATGTGTGTTTGAATGTGAGCATGAAGAAAAAAAAACGGCAAAAAAAAAGTTTGTTGAATTGTTTTCATTACCTTCAAGAGGTTATGTTTGTTTGTCTGATGTCAGCAGGAAAAACGGGTCTGACTTTCAGTAAACTTGGTAAAAGCGTGCAACAAAGAGGCAAGGAAGATACATTCATTTCCACCACCAGAGGACGCTAATGCTGTAGATGTAAACACTTCAGCTCAGGCAGGGTGTGTACCATCAGCAATGAGAATATCACACTTAAAGGTCCCCTATTAGACTATTTTTCAACTATATACATACATACATATATATATATATATGTATACATATATATGTATACACATATATACACATATGCATGCTAAAACACTTCAGATATTTCAGATATTTTATATATATATATATATATATATATATGTAGCATGCCATAAACCCCTCAGCCCTGTTCTAAAAGTGCAGATTCTGTATCTGTAGCTTTAGATGGTAACAAGCTGCCACTCCCCACCCCCCTCTGTGAAGTGTTTGGTTTAAAAAAACACAATGGTGCTCTAGGAGGAGATTCAGGTGATAAGGTGGGCGGGTGTTACCTTGGTCATTTATTGGCTAATCTGATCAGCTCATTTTCAGAAAGGTTTTGATATAGATGATCAGGTAAAAAAAAAAATGAGAATATTTTTTTCCTGAAACTTTCCAAATCTCTTGACACAGGGGACACATGTTTATGTATAAAGACATGAAAAAGTGGATTTTGCTTAAAGGTGACCTTTAAAGTTTAATGATAGAAGAAAAACGAGTACAGACAGAAGTTATACCCCATCTCATCATCCTTTATTTTTGTTCACGAGCAAGCATCAACTTCACTACAATTTGCCTTTCAACGTGTAGAAAAGTGAGAGCAGCTCCAACAAGCACAAAGGAAGCATTCAACCGTTCTGAAAACATTGTCACCTTTCATTTTGAGCACATTTTTAAAAGAAAAGAAAAATATATATATCTGGAGTGTTGTGGACGTGTGAAACAGACAATCTGAGAATCAGTAGTGTGTCTATTGTCGCACAACCCCACATGGAACGTACACAAACTTGTGGTTCATGCAAAGTAAATTCCCCTTAAATCTGAGTGTTATTACAGTATGGCTGCATTTCAGTTTGTTAGGCAGTGACATTCAAGTCAACCAAGTTACACTTAACTCGAGGGCTGATCGGAAAGCATTAAACCCAGAAAACTGGACATGGTGGCATCACCGGGTGTCAGTGTGCACATATCAGTGACCCATGGTATTGTACTTTAGAATTGTAGATGAAATGTGGACATTAAGTGTTTGACGAAATGAGACAGAGAATTGAGACGGGCTCTGGTTCTTGTGAATTTCATGCTGCCCTCAAAATCATTTCCCAACCACTCAGGCAATAGGACACTGTTCAAAATGACCTTCCACTATACACAAATAGGCCAGTTTACAGTATACTCATGTATGCTGCCAAAGCAATTTCATAATGTACTGTACATCTTTTTAAAGGTGGACTCCGTCAATGATTTAGTACAATTTCTATAGAAGATACAATATGGATCTACTTCCTCTACACAACATGGACACATGACATCTATGTAAAACATTTTTTCACTTTAATAAACCTAGCAGTGGACTATTGTTACAACAAACGGAAACAAAATATAATCCCCAGCTCAGTAAGAAATCTAGCATTAAACAAATACAAATAAAAAACAAAAATGGCCACAAATAGAAAGAGCACGGATGAGTGTTTCTTTTGTTAGACCTGCTAATTGCGCGATGATCGGAAAAAGGCACTCCCATCTCAGCCGGCTCTGACCTGGCCACCTTTTTATCTAAAGTCCAAGTCATCATGGAGGGGAGACTGTTACTACATTTCCAACACAGAACTTTTAAAATTATAAATTATTTCAGCTTAAGAAAAATAACTGTGTGACTCAAACCCTCAACAGAAGCCGGGAAACCGTCTTTAAGAAAAAGAGCCTCGAATGTGTTTGAGTTCAATTGTGGCCTCCAAAAATAGATGTGCATGCAAAATACGAGACTCAAATCACAAACATATTCCAGCCGGATAATGCCACGTTCCATTCACTTTGAAGCTCCCAAATTTGTTCCGCTTTAGTTAATGCAGGTTTGGGAAAGGTTAACATTTTAACTTGAAAACAAACACTAAGCGTGAGGGAATATTTGTATCTGGTTGTGTGAAAGATGTATACAACAGTGATGGACAACAGTGTCTGGGAGGAGATAGAGGTTGGATATCTTTTCCCAATCAATTGTATAAGCTTTATACTAATACCAGAAGGAAAACAAGTTTACCAAATGTAAACAAATATCTGTAAACAACTCTACAGTACAGTTTCGTGTACGATAAAATCTGGTGGTCTACGACCAAAATAATTCCTTTTAAGATTCAAACAAGAAGATCAATTTTTAAATGTTTTCCTTTTGTAGTTTATGCAGTTATAACCTCAGATGTAAGTCCTAAGGTAAAGACTGTACAGTTTTTGCTATAGGAAACCGGTTTAAAAATATGTTTTATTATATCAGGTTAAGAAGCCGCGAGACGTGAAAAATAAAATTGCAACAACATCCTGAAATGTACTTTCATTTAATTTCTCCCCTCCAAATAAAAGCCAGCGACTGCACCACACATCCAAACTGCACTAAAGCTCAGTCTCTGCTCTTTCAGGAGTTTAAAGGTTTATTTCCTCCCTACTTCAGTCAGCGCAGCAGGACAGGGTAACAGACTCAGCTTTTATAGCAGCTGAGTCCAAATACACTGGCAGATAAAAGTTTGTACCCATATTTAAAACCGCCCACAGTACCTGTTGGCCTTGTGTTTGTACCGTTTTACACTACATGTCCATTTGTACATTAGCTTTTCTCCAAGTATTATTACTCTGAACAAAAAGAAAATCTCTTCTGTACAACAGTGAGATCTTTTGGGAATGAAATACACTGACGCCCGGAGTAGAGCATTGCTACCTGTGCAAGCAAAGGAGGGCAATGTATGAAGCTAAAACCATCCACCAGTCCTGCCTACCAGAAACAGAAATAAATGATTTTCCTCTTTGCAAAAAAAGACAAAATGGCTACCACTTTGTCATGGAAACCTCCGCTCAACAGTCCTGGGTTTCTCATCAAGAAGCAGACATTTTTATACAAGCATGATGGAACAGCTTTCGCGGAAATTTAGCAACATGCTACAGCCTGTGTGACACAAATATTCTACATTACGAACTGCGTCATTTTAGATATTGGACCCCGTTGAGTAGGCCTTCACTAACACATCGACTAATTACATGGTTTCTTTATATTTACAAAATCTTTAAAAAGCAATGTATTCCTCTACACATATGACTTCTCAAATATGCTCATGCACTAAAAGAATTTAAAAAAAATTAAATAAAATGCGGTCTGCTCGTTGAAAGCATTGTTTTGTTTCGCTGCGGACTACAAATCAAGAGAACTCAGGTCAAGCTTATACGTGAGATTAGCGGCGAACAAATCTAAAAGCATTATGCAAAGAATATACATTAGGGGGGAAAAAAAGTCTCCATATGATCGCTTTACGTCTGAGAGAAAACAAAAAAAGTGCAGGGTTGGCTTCCTCACACAGTTCAGAACAAATGTAGGCCAAGCTTTCCTGGGAATTAAAATATAATAAATACAAAAATAAACAGTAAAAATCAGCAATCCGTGATGACTACACTACACTGAGTACCACCACTAAGATAACAACAGGAAAGCCTTGACCATATATACGCAGAAGGGAATTTTTCTTTAGCTTTTCTTTTTTCTTTTTTTACATCATGGCTCCTTGTAGGGGGGTGTGTGTGTGTGGATGTGAGTGAGTGTGAGTCGGTGATGTGTTTGTGATGTGTGTGTGAGCTTGTGTTTAGTGTTATATATATGTGTGTGTGTGTGTGTGTGTGTGTGTGTGTGTGTGTGTGTGTGTGTGTGTGTGTGTGTGTGTGTGTGTGTGTGTGTGTGTGTGTGTTTAGTAGGTGAGGGTGGAGTCATCCCACTCCAGCTGCTGCTGTCTGCTGGCCGCCTGCTGGTCCTCCGGCTCTGCCCCCTCCTCGTCTTCGCTGCTCTCTGACTCAGCACTCGTGATGTCATCTTCCTCCTCTCCGTCCTCGCTCTCCTCCTCCTCTTCCTCCTCCTCCTCGCTGCTGTGCTGGTCCTCGTAAGTCTGTGTTGAAGACAGAGGAAGATGGTGGGGTTGTTAGTGAAGAGACACGAGAATAGATATATTTATAGATCAAAACCGCTGCCTGCCTGGATGTAGATTCACACATTTACACCAGTACCAACTGACTTAGGAACAGGCACATCCTAACATCCTGCTCTAAATGTGTCGAATATGCAATTCTTAGAAAGTAATTGAGGCAATTATTTTAATAAAATATTGAAACCCTCTTCCTTTGAAGTGAAATTATCCCAGGCCGTCTAAAGGCTATCATTCTTTTCTGACAGTGCTAAAAACACAATCCATCAAACATGTCAGGGTGTCCCGCCTTTTCCCCAAGTGCATTCACGTTGACATGATCTAATACCATCATTATTTTTAAACAGTTTTTTATTTCATAACCCAACCTTGTTTTCTTGTATTAACTGATAACTGTATACTACAACTAGCCGTCTAAGAAAGGCACATAAATATCAGTAATAAAACATGCATTTGATCTCAACCTGACTGCTTTGTGATGCTTAGGACAAAAGAAAGAACATTTCTTATGCTAAATTCAGCATTTCTGGTTCTCACTGAACACAGTGTAAGATACCTTTGGATTTTTCTCATCATTTACTGCAGTTGAAAAAGGCTAGATTCCCCACAGCAGAGTTTAATTTGGGGCTCACTTGTACAAATGTGCGAGTCTCACTAAACAGGGATGCTGTTCTACTGCAACCAGTGATGTGATTCAGGCTGACAGTTCAATTTCCCTAAAGCAGCTGTAAATACTGCAGACGCATTCCTCTAGATTAGAAGACAGTAGTCAAAGAGTACCATGACGATTTTTGGAAAATAGTTGGCGATACTGCATTTTGTTTTCAACGGCTTCAAGCTGTAAACGGAGCCTTCATCTTCTCAGGATAAAGAACCAGACAAAAATGCAAAGTGAAAGCGAGGGTTAGAGGGAACGAATCTAAATGGCAATGTGTCATCCTTCTATCCATTACATTGTGCCTCAAAGTCTACTTCTTAATGACTAAAACACGTGCTACTGCAACTTTTATTAGCGAGATAATGCTCCATAAATATCTTCGACAAAGTCTCTTCCCCCATGCCCACCGGGCTGCCAATCACAAAAGCTCAGATGAAACTAGGCCACAGTCACAGCATCAGCCCGAGCGTTGGCAGGTAGAAAGCTGTAACCCGACCACATTTTGTTGAGAAGTGAAATTCTCTTCTCCTTTGCTCAGGCTAATAACCACATTTTTTTGAATGTGTTTAGAAAATACTGAAAGTACTCTTCCAATATCAGAGTAGCACATGATAATAAAAGCCCTACGTAGCTGTGTACGTAACAGGATGTATGATTACCTAGAAGAGCATCAGGACACACTGTTTTAGGCATATGATAGCTATGTGACAACGATTAACATGATGACACAGCCTCTATGGAGATAGGCATATGACTGTCATGTTTATTGCTGACGCAGGCCTTAGCTAATCTGAACCAAACATTGAATACTGCTTTGAACCGGTATTCTGCATTCTGCATTGTGACTGTAACACTCTTGTATATAAGCATGTCAAGGACACTATTCGGGGATCTATTTGTCCCACGCAGCTCTGTGTGACTACTTCCATTCTTGCAAGGATAATAAATACATGTATCCTGATATTGAAGACCAAGCCGGTGACGAGTGATATTTTTCTAACAGAATGTATTTGTACCTCCATGGGGTTGACGGTGATGGTGAGGGCTGAGTCGTCCCAGTCCATCTCGTTCTCCTTGCCGCTCTCCTGGTCCCTCATGGTGCCCTGGTGTGCGGCTCGGACGCGGAACACGCCCAGGATGATCATAAACACCAGGAAGCTAACGCACACCACGATGACAATGGTGGCTGCGCTGGGAACGACTGTGATGAAGCAAACACACAGAATAAAAAGGTTAGATCATTTTTATTTGTGGAGTCACGTCTCTGAGGAGTGTTTCAAGGGCTTCAGTTTCCCAGTGAGTCAGCCCTGATGTTAATGGCTTCTTACTAAACTGCGGATGAATGCTTTCGGAAGCTCTAGGTGTGCGTCTTTCATTAACACGCTTTTTTTCTGTCTCCCTCCAACCTTCTCCACTTTACCCCATATTAGCAGGACGGGGCCTCTCTGTGTGGCAGGCTTAGTGATCCTGACAGCCCAGAGGATTACTGCAGTCGGGAAATAAAAGGTTGTGCTCAGACCACCGCGTGTGCAGATGTCACAGACAGCACTCAAGTGTAATCCCTTAACTTGTGCCATAAAAAAAAAAGGCAAATAACCAGTAATTTCCTACGTGCCCTATTTCTGGTTAATAGATTGTAATCCATCCGTGAGCAATGCTTGTTACACCAGAGGCCAAATGTGTTTCCTATAGCAACAACACAGAGAAAAGATTACTAGTTGATTATTACATTTGTTATTCATTTAAACGCATGAGTGGAATGCTCTTATAAGGTGACGGTTCAGTCAGCAATAGTGATCAAGTTCAACTATTATTTAAAAATATGTTGTTGTTTTCAGCCGAGATGTAAAGGATTTCTACATGTTGCAGCAGAATTTGTTAAGTGGCACTGAAACGGAAATTAATTTGTTTTTGTCTTCTTGAAAGGGAGGATCATTTCAACAAAATGGATGCATTAGGAGAGGTAAATGAAACGGTGGACACAGTGTTGTTTGTATAATGCAAAGGACAAAGGCAGAAATGTTCTGTATTGTATTCTGAACCCTAACGTTTCCCATGTTGCAGTACCTGAGGCCTGGTGAGCGTTGACCAGGTTGTGCCCGGACAGATCCAGAGAGGCGTGATGCACAGGGTTGATGAAGTTGGGCTGCACCATGGCGTTGTTGGCCTGCTCCACAGGATTGGCTGTGTGGATTACATTAACCTAGAAAGAATACAAACACAATCTTTCACAAAAAGTTCCCGACAAATCTCCATTTGAGATGTAGCTCGAGCCAAATGAATGCTTTTTGGAACATTAGCGGTGCATGAGGTGGAAGAAGTATTTAGTATTCATTCAACTTGTTTGTATAAGTAGCTTTACCATAATGTAAAATATTCCGTTACAAGTCAAAGTCCTGCACTTACAACGTATTACATCAAGTTATACTATCAAGCACTCATTGTGCACAATGGCCCATTTCAGAATCATCTAAACATGATTACACTGAATTATAATTGATGCATTTATCTGTTCAATACTTTAAATGTTGCAGAAAAATTAACTAACTGACACAATATCTGCTTCCAAACTGTAGGAAATGGAAACAGTTAAGGGCGACTCCGTCAAAATTGTACTTAATTAGAGTACTTGAATGTGCTTAGTCATTTTCCATCACTGCTGCTTGCACTCCTCTTTGTGAATGTGTCACTGTTTTGTGACGTAGCTGACGCATGCTCAGTCGTACCTCGACCTTGAAGTCGTTGCTGATGTAGCGGCCGTTGAGTTCAGAGCAGACCAGTTTGAATTTCCTGTCAAAGAGAGCCTCTGTGTGCCAGTTCTTGTAACGGATGAGATGCAGGACCTGCTCGTAGTTTGCCATGGTGTTCACACCTGAAACACCCAGAGGAGAGCTCGTGTCAAAGAGAAATATGATCAGCAGTCATCAGAACGTCTCAGAAAAAGCTCTCTTAAGGAGTAGAGAATTGTTGCAGGGAAGCATGTTTCTAAAAAGAATGGGTTATATTTGAAAATGTATCTTTAAAAATCATAATCTGAGTAGACTTGGTAACTATGACCTTAAATCAGTCTAGTTAACAATGCGAGTGCCTACGTTTTAAATACTTACACAGGTACATTATACATTTGTTCACATGCGAGTCCTTAATATTACTATACTAAAGAATGTATTCTTTATACAAAGCAGATTCGTTCATGTCCTGATATCAGTGCTGTGGGCTGTGTGTACCGGTGATGACGAGTCCCAGGTTAGAGGAGCTCATCTCCAGGCTGTGCTGCTGCAGCTGAGACATGTCCACCTCCAGACCCTCGTGCTCCCCGTCCAGCTCGTCTCCCACCACGCTCACTTCACAGGTGTCCAGGTTGTGCATGATCTCCTCTGACACCACGGTCTCTTGGACTGAATGAACAATGGAGGGAAAATATTCAGATGTGAGTAGGGACCTTCTCAAATTGAGGAGTGTGCATTGGGTCTGTAATGCAAGCTTGTTGTACGCCAACATCAATGTTGTAAGCTAAGGACAAGTACAGTACCCCAAACAACAAATATCTAAATGTTTTGCTACAACAAATAAAACTGTTTTAAATGTATAAAATAGAAACTGGGCAAATCAGTCAAAGCTGTAAGGGTATAACTGAATAATTATATAATCAGCATAGTTTGGTTAAAATTAGGACACATCCCTTATCACCATCTGTTGTTTACAAAGTAGTTTGCAAAGTAATAAAGAAAAGGCTGCCATTTTGTGTAAAAGCTTTCTTTAAACCCTTTCAAAATGTACTTATTGTTTCGTAAACATGTTATATATCTATTTGAGTCAGAATGTGATGAGATCTTTGATTCTTGCTCATCTGCTGTGACATCTCTTGTGTCCTGAGGAAGGTGGGGCAGGGTAACGCAGGTAACAGCAGCAGATCTCAGGGAGTCCTTTTGTCCCATAATGCCTGCTGTTCACCACAGGACATTGCATCTCGCTGTATCTGCGTCACGTCTATTGTCTGAACGTCTTAGCTCATATACGAGCAGATGGCTGGCTGCTCACAGCCCCTCCCATAAAGTAGTAAACAACTTATCTTTGCACCCTCCTTCTCTACTCTACCCAATCCCTTCGGCCTTTAGACTTAATCCTCCAGATCACCTGCTAATGTACAGCTACACCACTATCAACTGTGCAAGGTCATTTAACTAAAGCAATAGATGGAGCAATTAATGAATCACACTGCCTAAGACTAAGATTACATATGTGGCAGTATTTGTTAAGTAGAAATCAAACTTCCTAACAAAGAATACTAAAATGGGTTGGCTTTATTTCCATGTTCCTTAAAACAGAATCCGGTGTTAAAATAAGGGCACGAGTGCATTTCTCATACCTGTAGGGTCATCATCAGTTCCCTCTGCTGCTTCAGATTCAGCATCAGCCTCCACCTCGCGGGTGATGGTGCTCACGATGCGTAGCTCGGGGAACAGCGTCACACCTTCCTGGCTCTCGAATTCTGCGGCGCTGCGGGCAAAGTGATCGATCCCGCTCAGGCTGATCTTTGGCTCCTCGGGCTGCAGCACCATCACATAACCTTCAGCATCTGGCACTGATACGCAGGACTCCTCGTTGAAGCATCTGCGGGAAGATTTGAGTTTAAATACTTGGTGACCTGGATCTTCGACACTTTTCTATTAAATTGCTGGTTCTCCCTCTGCTTTGAAAGGCAAAAAGGGGCATTTTAAGAATCTTACAATCTAAAAGTGGAGTCAATTCTCATTTCGCAGTTATGCAACCCATGTAGCTATAAACTGCTCATTATACTGTGTCTCCACGTTTGGTAAGATGTACACCAACAGCTGGAGGGTTGCATTCACCGGTAGAAACTTAAAGTATAATGAAAATTGAAAAAGATTGCCTCATTTATCATTCCACGATGCAGATCTTTGCATATGCAAATAAAAAAAATAATTAAAAAAAGGAACGTTTCTGCAGCACTAACTGGAACGGATCTTGCTGTAGGCTCAGCAGAAACCTAGGTCTGAATAAATTGCTTTCATACATCATTTGTAAACACTGAGCAGATTTGTTATTCACAATCCAGTCTCTAAATACATGATTGTTGTTAAGAAAATCTACATCAAAGAGAACTGAAAAACTAAATGCAAAATCCTACAGCTCATCTGTCATTCTCCAAGCCTGAACAATTTGTATGTGTTGTCTCTTTGTTATGGAAATTACAAAAAACTCCTGACCTCTATTTTACCTCATGAAACCATCCTCACATTTAAAGCACAAAGATGAACCCTCTCTGAATGTCTATTATTCAGAACAAACCTGTTACATACACTCCGGGTGCTGCTGACTGACAAATGACTGACATTGAATATTAAGTATTTTTGGGATATTTTTGGCTACTTACTTGACGGTGGTGGAGATGCGAAGGTGCCTGATACCAGGAGTGGGAAACTGGCGAGAGTTCAGGTAGGAGATGTGCTGCATGACCTTGTCAAAGGCATCGATGTCGTCTCCCTCCACGGTCAGAGAGGACTGGTTGGGGTTAAACTCAACCTGAGAGGAGAAATTAGGTGACTGTGAGATTTCAGGCAAGAATGGGTAACCCCTCAGTGCTAACCTTAGAGCTGAAATGTTAAATTCATGTCTAACACAGCTGACTTTTTTTTTTTGACATTTCTTTCCTTCCCCCACTAGGATAACAAGCCTCAGAGGTTGACTGACTGAGTGTGTTTTGTGTCTCTAAATCACTGCCTTCTGCTCACCTTGACAGCTGAAGCTATCTCTTCAGGCAGCTGCACGTCCAGTCCTTCCTTGCAGGTGTACAAACAGTCGATCACCTTCTTGTTCTCCAGCTTGCCAGAGCGGATCATTAGCCCCGCTAGGTTGCCCCGGAAAAACTGAGCCATCTTAGCATTTCCACCTGGACATATCACAACAGTGATGTGGAAAGTAACACACACACACACACACACACACACACACACACACACACACAGAGTTACTCAAGTCTATATTCCACAGACTTCACCATTTCTGGGCTGGTGATTGAACCATGCTATCTCAATGTGCAATGCTGGCGTGAATGGCGTTCATGCAAGTTAGTATGGGTGCCCTGGGGCCACGAGGAGGAGACAGTGGGGATGATGGATGAGCTTTTACACGCCTTAAACATGCAACATCTGCATTAACAGGGTGAGCCGCTGCCTTACTGTAAAAATAAAAATGACTGAAAAAAAAGAAACTTAAAAAGGGGATTACATCAAATAATGGTGAAATGAATCCTCTCTAGTCACCTTATAATGAAATGTTAGTATAACTGAGAAATGTAGTATTGCTGTGTGTGCATCAATCCTGGGTCCAGGTCACAGCCACCGTGTGGGGTGTGTGTGTGTGTGTGTGTGTGTGTGTGTGTGTGTGTGTGTGTGTGTGTGTGTGTGTGTGTGTGTGTTGCAGTAGCTCTGTTATCTGATATGGAGGAGTTGCTGCTTCTGACCCAAAGGTCATGTTATGAAAGAACAGTCTGCAGGAGCAAAATGCTGCAGCCAGGTCAACATTTCATGCTCATGCAATCAATGTTCTGCTCTGCTTGTGTATCTGGTTGATGTAGTGAGAGGAGTGAATGAAGGAAGAATTAAGAAAATACAAAAACAAATGCAATACACAGGCAGATAAAAGGACTATCATCCACACTGCATCATGCTCCAAACATATCTGTCTGTATCTAGAATGTGTAAGAATCATTCTAGTCGTAATGGTATGATAATGCAGTTAGCATGGTGGGACATTGTGGACACATGGACATATTTAAGGAGTAAGGGAAAGATTTGAGCAACCTGAGGTGGGCTCAGAGACTGACTCAGTGTCATTGTCATGTCCTGAGTTGTCTGTAAAGGACAGAAACAAGAGAGCAAGGAGAGACAGGGATGAAGGTTGAGGATCTGTAGCAGAGACTTCAACGCTAAATACAAAGCCATGGTGCATCATTTGAGAAATAATTCATACAAAAACGTGCACATCACTAGCACTAATCAACACATATAATGACACATTATCAGGTAGAATTAAAGCTTTCACTAAACCTTTTTACTAGCCACCAAAAAAGGCAAAATGTTACACAAACCACAAAAATGCACACATTCTCTAGAATGTATTTGTGCTTCTGACTTGTTTATAAGTTAATACACTTTATCCCAATACTGAAATATGATTAATTTAACGTTAAAGCATTCCTCCAACAAGAGATATTGAAGAGTGTACCTTGCCAGCAGGCACCGATGGTGAGCTGGGATTCGATCTTGGAGGAGTGCAGTGGGTAGTCCTCTGTGACCAGGAAGGGCTCGAAGGTGGTCCCATCCACAAACAGAGACACAGTGGGGAACTCGATATTCAGCACATAGTGATGCCACTCTTTGTCACAAGCCTGCGAAGAACACGACAGAGGGAATTAAGAACTGTAAGATGGACTGAGAATAGCACACCTACTCTTAGCGAAATATAGCGTAACGCTATCATTCTCTAAAGACAATGTTTGGTGTTAGCAGCAGCTGACCTGGTCGAGCTTCCAGTGGAACTCGGCTGGTTTGTAGTTCTCGGCCTCTGATGGGTCCTGGCGTAGGAGCATGATGAGCCTGCAGTTGTGGACGTACAGCGAGTAGTGGTGTCTGTTCATCTCTGCAGGGGAGAATAAAGAGAGGAGATTAAGATATGAAATAGGGCTGCAAAACAAATTAAACCGGTTTTATCCTTTTTAGACTTTGAGCGTGTAATTCATGCCTTTGTTACTACGCGTCTAGATTATTGTAATGCACTTTATGCCGGCCTAAACAAGACCTCGCTGGCACGCCTAAAGCTGGTACAAAACGCTGCGGCTCGGCTGCTTACAGGAACACGCAAGCATGAACATCACCCCAATTCCGGCTTCCCTCCACTGGCTTCCTGTCCATTTTAGAGTTCATTTTAAGATGTTATTGTTTGTTTTTAACTCGCTTAATGGGCGATGTGTACATCTCGGACCTCCTAAAGGTGTACACCCCCTCAAGGGCTTTGAGGTCGGCTGATCAGCTGCTGCTGGTAGTCCCTAAAACCAAGAAAAAGACCAGGGGAGACCGAGCCTTCTCAGCGGTAGCCCCCAGGCTCTGGAACGTCCTGCTATCCTATTTGTATGCTTTTATTGTCTGTCCATAGCCTTTATGTGCCTTGTATGTATTCTTATGTGTGCCTTTTAGCTTTTCTTATGTGTGCCTTTTATCTATTATTGTAATATTATATTTTATTATAATGTTATGTTTGCTGTGAAGCACTTTGGTAAACCCTCTGTTTTTAATATGTGCTATAGAAATAAAGTGGATTGGATTGCAACAAACGACTATTTACATTATCGATTAATATGCGTATTCTAGATTGATTAATGGTCTGCTCAAAAATAAATAATAAATATCAGAAAATATCTATCCTAGTGGCAGTCCATCAAAGTGTCTTTTATATGTTTTGTTTTTTCAGTCTAAAACCCAAAGAAAACTGAGGAAAGCAGGAAATCTAAAAATGTCTGCAAATTGTTGTTAAAAGTTACAATAAGGATTTATAGGATCATCAAAATAGCTGCAGGTATTCTTTTCTTTTTTAACTGCAAGAGTAGAAAGAATGACATGTACAAGCTTCAGTACTTTTCAACCAAAAGTGGTAGAACTCCATAAAAGGCACTGAGAAGCGAAAACATAACTGAAACATATCACATGGAATTGTGTAGGCTATAGTCCTTTTGTTAATTTAATGTTAACAAATGATGACTAAACAAAGGGGGCAGTAAATGAGTCATGAGTGCTGTAAGTTACAAGCACAGACTTGTCGCTGTGAGCTTAATGATTAAACACACGATTGCCATGGCCCTCCTTGTTCTTTTAATTGACGAACATGCCTCGACAGGTTCTCAAAGTGGCAGAAAAGATCTCTTTGAAACCAGTTCCACGGCCAACTGATTCTACCGTATGGATGGTTCTCTGAGGAGGAAGTAAAATGTCACAGCTTATCTGCACATGAACACAAACTGGCTATTAAGCAGATATTTACAGTACTTTTCTCATTATGCATCTATAGGCTTAGTCTATAGCAATATCTGACAAAAATCTGTGATATTATATCTGGCACTATAATTAGAGAGGATCCGCTATAGGTTCACATTTTCAAATGGAGGGCAAGGTTCCTCCATTAACAGACTAAAAGGCTGAATCTTCCTTTCATTTAGATAAATAATATCTAGGCGACCGTGATATATATCTAAGATAATCTACAACAGCAATAAAAGGCCACCCTTTTAGGAACATCATTTTTTCATTTTTCAAAATGAAAATATAATTGATTTGCTGTTAGTTGAGATATTGATGAAATGTCTCATACTGGACTACAGGTAACTCTTCTAAAGTAATGTGCTACATTTCCCCCAAGGCAGGGATGTAACTACATAATAGCCCTCTAATATGGATCATTTGCTATATTTATATTATCCATATTAGAGGGCAATTATGTAGTTACATCCCTGTGGACCCAACATTACAAATGTTAAGGTTCATGCTTTATTCTGCTTGCTTTTTTGTCATAACAGCAATATTTGAGGGTAATGTACGTGGCTGGTGAGACTCAGACACACTGAGGCATATTAAGCTCTCTCGTGTCCTCACAGGCTAAATTATTTGTATAGATTTAACTGAATAATACATTTATATACAAAACAACAATTGTGAACAAAAGATGAATTTGATAGTGAACATAATTGATACCCCCCTTCATAGGGGGTAATATTTATAGAGGTCATATTTATGGTCCAAATCTTATGTCCACGCTTCGCAGTGTCAGTGTTTGATATAAAGTGTCTGTCTTAAGAGCTAAAGACTCAAATGAGGAGGAAATGAACTGAATGTCGAGTCATTTCTCTTTCTGTGGCACTGCGCTGAATGCTATGAATGGTGCTTCGATCAGCTTCCTGTTCAGCGCACAAAGGTTGTGATGTAATACTTTATTATATAGGCGGTCAAACAGAAGCTGATAAATGGCCTCTCGCTGTCCATGGCAGAGACTTTACAGTCAATATGAAATAAGAAGCTTGTGACTGCTTGCAAAATGTCCAACTGGTGACCAATAGGAAAAAGGTAGGAAGTTTCCATGTGAGCCAGCTGAGCATCAACACTGATTATAGCCTGAAGTTACAACATTTAGTTTATTGGCACATTTTCAGAAACCATATATGCCGCAATAATGAGTATGCCACATTGACAGTCTAAAACGATGCGTAAATACGTTTTATGTTTTTTTTAGTTCTGCTTCAATGTGTTTCTGGCATTAATGTCTAAATACCAATCTGTAGTTTTTGAGTGTATGAATATGTTAACATAAAAGTTAAACGTTTTACTTCAATTTGATAAAAACAAAATAAAAATGTGTTTGGCTATGTAAACAGCCATCAAACATGGTACGATGTAGCGATACTCTATTTGAATCTATATGGTAGGTTGGCCACTCTTGCCTTTTGCTCTGCATGTTTATTGTATGTTTTGCCTTCAAACCCATACCAATTTATTAAACACTTTGATTAAATGGTAAAATGGTAAATGGACTGTAGTCATATAGCACTTTATCCAATCTTACATACGACAAGTCATCATTCACCAATGTGCCCTTTAGCTCAGATCTGGGTTAAGTATCGTGCCCAAGGATCCATCTACATGTTGGCTGCACAGGGCTGGGATCGAACTCACAACATTGCAACTGAAAGGCGACTGCACTCCCTCGCAGCCACAGTTGCCTGAAAGCCAAACTGGGGGATTTGATCAGTAAAAATGCATCTCAAGTCGAAAATGGTTAAAAAGGCCCTTTCGGCCGAAAGCCGAAAGGGCCTTTTTAACCATTTTCGGCCGATAACTTTTGGTGGCCGAATATTCGGTGCATCCCTATAATATCAGATATAATATCAGATTACCATCGTCACCAGGATGTTACCTGTTTTGTCAGAGTTGCAGAGGATGGTCTCCTTCTCGTGGGCCCCGGGGCCGTGTCTCATCCACACAGAGATGGTGAAGGGCTCCTTCAGGCTGGTGCTCACCATGCCTTCGGGAACCTTGATGGCCTGAGTGCCGTTAAACTCAAACACCTGGTCGCTGTCATGCCCGTTGTCTGTGGGCAGGCCGACGGTCCAGTTAGCGGCGCTGCTGGGTGCAGGCAGAAGCTCCACGGTGCCGGTGCTGGCTCCTAACAAACCATCAAATAGCACAAAGGCAATCGGCAAGATGAATTAGTATTCATTAAAAAATCAAAAAAAAAAAAAATGGGACTCATTACCGGTAACCATTTCCAGTGGGGCAGGTACTTACCGCACAGCTTGTGCAGTGACTTCTCAGAGTAGGTATCACGGTCACAGCCCTTTCCAATATGGTTGGTTTCCAGTTCAATGTTGGCTCGGATGGACGTGATTGGCTCATCACAGGTCTCCAAGTGCATGCTGGGGAAAAGGGCCAGGCTGCCTGTGCCAGGCTCATATTCAATCCTCTTATTGAAGCCTTTTGGATGAGAGCAGAGAGAGAGAGAGAGAGAGAGAGAGAGAGAGAGAGAGAGAGAGAGAGAGAATGAAAATATGTCCTTCAGCACAGCACCGCTAACGCGTGAGCTGTCAATATAGGGGCTGTCAATAGCAATTACTGTATAAGAAGTACTTCCATTCTTACAAACATGATAAAGGCCTTGAGGCTTAAAGGAATCAAATAGCCTTGTTGTCCACGGCATCCACCTAAACAGTGATGGTTGGAGGGTAACAGTGATCAGAGGAAAGCTTTTATACCTTGCCAGCTGGGTTTGCAGGTGGGTTTGACGCTGATCTTGACCAGAACATCCTCGGAGGCACGGTTCTTTCCACAATCGTAGGCGGTCACAGTCAGCTTGTACATGCGCTCCTTGCCGTAGCTCAGTTTCTCTGTGTTCTTGATAAAACCTGTGTGAAACAGAAAAGAATGAGAGAGCGCCCTTTGTTTAATGCTCCAGCTGTGCTAGGAAAGTAATAAAACACAATTTGGGCTACTGAACAGCATGCCAAAACAAAGATATTTTAATTATTTCAAAAAGCTGCCGAATACAAATGTCATTTACTGTCAAGCTGAATGAAAAGTGCAACATATATGATTGACTTCTCTTTAGGGCCACATTAGGATATTGTTGATTTGCCTGGTGTTCTTCAAGATGCTATATTGAGAGTCACCAAGCTAATGTTTATGCAGAGCCTGATTAGCATGCATGTGATTCAAATGAAGTGATGGAATTTGTTTGAATACGATTAGATCTCGTCTCAGGTCTTTTTCCTTCCAGCACTAATTAGCTGTCACAGTTGAGCACCTTCATCAACATTATGCACCCCACACCTTTTGTTCTCCTCCTATTATAACCTGTCTGCATTTCCTTTTCTATCAAAGCCAGGTGTCACATCCACTGAGCCTAGTTATCTGATGTATTTTTAACTGGATCTTTTATTTTTGTTTTACAAGACACACTCAGATTAATAATCCTTCAGTCCGAGACAAACGAGCAACCCCGGTGACATTTCAAGGAGACGGTCATCGTCTAACAAGACAACAAGCGGCCTTGAATTCCAAATGACTTTGTTTTATACGGATCAATGTGATGTGTGTCAATAAAATCGTGGCTCTTAGGCATGCACTGCTGCTTTCCCTCAGGCATGGACAAACACAAGTCTGCTAAGTGTGAGTGCTCACCATCTTTGTCGACGGTGAATGGCACATCAGGGGTGACGATCTCGTAGTTGCAGATTTGACTGAACTGGAAAGAGCAGTCGGCGTCCACTGCCTCCACCTTCAGGATGCTGTCGTACTTCTTTCCCTCGATAACGGTGGCTTTGTAGGACTTCTCCTTGAACACTGGTGCATACTCGTTGATGTCGTTTACCTGGATGTGGACGGTGGCCCTAAAGAGGCACGCTATGTTAGGACAATTTTGGCTGGGGATGTTTATTAACATTTGCCTAACCACAGTGAAATATGCTATTGTCCCACTTCAGCCACACAGTCAGCAGAGGGATTCAATAATAGCTTAGCTTTTCGAATCTAATGGTAAATCCCACATCTATTGTCATACCATCTGCACAATCCTGTGGTTGATGTTCCGTTTTATTTTACAGTTTGTTTTATGTGAAAGCATAGTTTATATGAACCACACCAAAATAGGTTAGGTGTGAGACAGAGGTTGCGCTACACTTTTTCGCTGCCCGTCATTTTGACGGACAGGATCGTAACATTTCCGTCAAAATCCAGTATTACCCGTTGGCCTTTACACAACTCTAACGAGGGGGGGGAGAGAGAGCACGCTAGTGAACTGTCAACGGGGGGGCGCCGTGTTATGCATGCCCACTGCACCTCGCGGGAGCGCGCACAGCGTAAAGCCAAAACTCAGACATTTCAATGATTTGTACGGCAAAGTTAGGTTTGGAAACGTTATCATTTCCTTTTTGGCGGGCATGCATAACACGGCATAACACCGGAGCCTCGCTGCGGGGAAGCATTGGCACTGTTCCGAGTTTGTTCTAATCTGTCAAAATGACGGACTGCTTTCAATGTTAAAAAGAATCCGTCATAGACGGAAAATATTCACAATATGGTGTGAAAGCACCCTAAATGATGCAACATAAACTGTTTGTTTTTCGTTATCTCTTTCTGTGAGGGGAACTGAGAACCCTTTTTATTGACAGAACTACCTCTGCACCCTGATTAGGTACAACTTTACAATAAGACTACCCTTATAAAGGATTGATAAAGGGTTTATAATTAGGTTTTAATTAGGTTATAAACACTTCAGTAATCGTTAAGAACCATTTATAAACCAGTTTCATATACGTCAACACAGGCTCACTATTTGGCAAGATGACTAAGCATATTGGCTACCTAGCTTACTTCCTCTTCTTCATCAGCCAACATCCTTGGTATCTGTTGTTCACCGAGTTGATGCTGCCTCCTTCCATCTTGATGTTTCTTGGCATCTCTTTATGACCATTTATTTACAAGTTACTAACATTTATAGTTGCCAAAAGGGAGCCTTATTGTAAAGTGTAAAACACATTCCCATTTATTAATGAGTTACTACCATTTCTAATAAGGCTGTACAGCAGTACAGATAAATGTGGTCTCTATTTGGCAAGCAACCGGTCACAGTTGCCCAGTTTATCTCACGTCTTATAAAAGCATATTAAGGATTTATAAAGTTTTCACAACCTAATTAATAAATGAATTACAAACTATTCGTAAACTCTTTATAAGGGTAGTCTTATTGTAAAGTGGTACCGGCACTTCTATACTGGTAGAGGTTGACTCACTTGTGGGATTTCTTCATGTTGGTGCCATCGGGACCCTCTCCACAGTCATAGGCTTGGATGGTGAAGGTGTGCTCCTTCTGCAGCTCACAGTCCAGCTTGTCCTTGGCCCGGAGGACCCCCTCGCCAGTGGACTTGTCCAGGACCACTGCCTCGAAGGGGACATTCTGCCCATGAATCCTGAAGCCGCAAATCTCACCTGAACACGTCAAGAGCCAAAAGAGAGTTTGTTCAAAATAACTGACATCAGGAGAGACATTTTCTCTTCAAATAATATTTTTAAAAAAAGTTAAAAACAAAACAATAAATTCACGCAAAAAAAAGAGAAAAAGATCAGCCACAGGTTTTGGGTGCCAGGGAGTTGTAGATTGGGGGTGGGTGGTGTCTGTGGAGGAAGCCCAAAAGCACTGTCATATGGGTGAGTACTTGGGGGGGGAGTTGGGAGAGGGTGTGGGACATTTAGTATCATAGAAGACGGAGTGTCTTTTCCAAGCCACTTGAAAACATTGCATCCAGTCATGCAGGCAGAAACCGAAAATATATGGACAGGCATTTTACAAAAGTACTTAAGATATTAGAAATCAAATTCATGAAGCCTATAAGAAGATAGAAAACATTATTGGAAGTAAAGATAATGTATTTCATGACTAAGGTCTATTGTATGATAGAAACAATAATGAAGATAAATACATACAAATTAATTAAAATATTTGAGCATTATAGCGTCATGATAGGCACCAATTTACTCATGAAAACCCTTAGTCTGAAAAACAAACAAACTGAGTCAGTAAAATGTGTTTTTAAAGACAATAATTTCTTCCTGTGTTATTTTGCCTTTCACCCAAAACGACTGCAAATTAAATCCAAATAATAAGAGAACTTCGACTATAACAGTTTAAAACAATCAGCACTGGATGTGAACTGGGGTTAGAAATATCAACTTGCTTGACATCCACATCAAATGACAACTGCAGCCATGCTAATGGTGGAGATTAGTGGTGGAGAATTAACTCAAGTGATCCACTAAGGCAAAGATGCGACAACAGAAACTTTGTAGCAGAGAGAGTTTGCATTAGTTAACAATCTCAGCAGCTTTCAGTGTAAGACTTTAATGTTAGAAAGTCCACAGGAGTCACTGTACCTGCATAGATCTTATAGGTCACAGAGAGGCACCACCAACATAGATGATGCCTTTAAGATGCTCACATATACAGAGCTTTTATCCTCTTTAAAACACCCATTTTAGTGTACATTTCTGCTCCAATTGTCATGGGTGTTAAGAGGTTGTCAAATCATCATCTGTGTCCTTTCAGTTTTTTTCTATCTTGTAATCAAATGTCTCAGAAATGAGCTGTTCCTTCCATTTTGTTAATTGAAGAATTGGATTGGATAAAATGGTAGCAAAGTGACTGAAAACTCCTGTTTTAAAGCAGCTTTCTGTTTCCTGGTGACAGCTGAAAAACTGTTAGGGTCTGCAAACTGCAATGGATGTCTCATGCACAGATATTTCTAAGTACAGTCAGCCCCACATCACACTTTTCATCCAGCTGTTGGATGTCCAAAAAATTAAGGGTGAGAAAAACATAAAATCGAGAAAACCAAATGGGGAGATTACAGAGCATGGCGGGAGTTTCTGTGTAAAAGTGTGAATGCTGTTTTTTTGAGTTAGTGGGTTAATAGTAAAAACTAAGCACAAGGCAGAAGAAAGAGCCCAAGATCACCTTCTTCAGTGAGAGTCACCTCAAAACTCTCTACAAGGAAGGGAGAGAAGATAAACCCAGATCAGTTAAAAGACAAGTTAGAATCTCAGAGAAAACACAGAGAGGAAAGAAAGGATACTCTTGCTTACAAAATGACCGACAGAAAATATGTACTTTCCCACAAACAAAAAGTCTTCAGCCAGTTAAAAGAATTGAATGATTAGATAAGAAGCAAGTTGGGAGTACAGATGAATGAAATGATGAAGTGTATGACAGGGCGTTCCAGAAGGATATGGAGAAACCAGCCAGTGGCTAAAAGTAGAATCACCTGGGTTAAGACTTTGGCAGTAAAAGGCTTATTTGGTGGCCTCTGGCACATCGTAAGGCCGTTCCATCATAGAAATAGAGCTTTATTATTGCATATTTTAATGATTTTGCCTGCCTATCGTTTGCCTACATAAACATAGTCAATTATTGTAAAGGAGTAGGATATTCAAAAAGTAAACCATCGATACCATTCATGAAAAAAAAAATATATAAATCATATATATCACTTCAGGATATTCCATTACCCCATTAAAAACCTAAATGCGTGACTTAGGACATTAGTTTGCATAATTTGTAAAGAAAAAAAAGAAAAAGAGAGTTCTAATAAATTTTTAGCTGTAAAACTTATTACATAATCCTGTTGATTTGAAAACAATGCCTGTTAAAGTGTTTGTTTATAATGTGTCTTAAAGACGGCTCTGCTGTCAAAAGCACAAAGTAAATACACATCAATGTGTTTAGCCCAGTGGTTCTCAAAGTGGGGGGCGCGCCCCCCCAGGGGGGCGCAGAGGCATGACAGGGGGGGCGCGAGAGACCAGGAGGAAAAATGGTTATACATTTTTTTTTTTTTTAAATATTTAATTTTTTTTTTTTTTTNATATTGCACACACGGAGCCCTTTATTAGACAATGTAATTACCAACTGGTTTTGCCACAACCTGGGTGACTCTATTGTGACTCTCTCAGGAAATCCAAGTGACTCAGAGAGTCAAGACTGTCCTCTCTGAGAAGGCGGTGAGAACAACAACTTTTTGAGGAATATAGGCAATCGCAATCGAGCGCCCTATCGTGGTCTTTCGATGTTGTTTGTTTAGAGACATGGTCCACGCGAGAGAGAGAGAGAAGGAGCGACCCGTGCGTGTGTTTTACCGAGCAAGGTTATGTGTAGTGAACTCAGACATCAACTTTGATGATACATTACTGGGATAGCTATACATAGACAAACATACATAATAAAAGCTTAGCGTATTTAAATTTTTTTTTTAATTTATAATTTTTATTTATTTACTCTAAATTGGTAAAAAGGAAGGACAAAGAGAGCGCGGGGGGGACAAGTACGGAGACGCGGGGGGACCGCGCGGGGGTGAAACTCCTTGGTGACCTAATACCCATCAATTCTATTATTCATAGTCCGTTGTCTTGTCCGTAGTGCCCTAGTGGCCCTCTACTGTTGTTGTTGGCCTTCACATGTTGTACGAATGGCCAGTTATCACCAGCGCACATCTTTGTGGTCGACTCTACTCGTCACGACAGTTCCGCGATTTGTACTCGCTCCGGACCGCCTTCTATTTGTGAGTCAGAAGTGAAACTAACGTAACCGGGTAGGTGTCCCTTTACTTCGTCTTAGTTTCGTGGTCATGGTCTCTCTACCATTGATAATTGAAATCATACAATTTTTCCGAGCCTCAGCATACATATAATTTGAGTTAATTCTAATTCTACCTTGGAAATAACTTAATTTTTCTGTTGTGGCTGTAAAATTTTCGCAAAATTCGTTTATTCTCACATCACGTGACTTTTTCTTTCCGAAAACCTAAGTTTACTAAAATTATACCCTTGGCCCGCAGAGTGTATAATTTTTATCTACACATGAATTTTGATAAGGTAATACAATTTCTGTGCGTCGTTGATACAATACCACAGTTTCTTTTGTACTTTTAACAATACAAGTAAACTTATAAAGGAAATTATATGCCATATAAATTAAATCGGGATGCAAATTCGGTTGTACTGAAAAATCCACAAGGTAAAATCCGAACAACTTAATATGAGTCATAATAAATTTGAACATCGGACAATTGCTCCGTTTGTACTAAAGGAAAATAACATTCGAAGTGACATTTTCAGACAACCTGAATTCATTATTTTTTGTACCTTTTTCGAACCAGACGTGTATTAATTTTAGTACACATGGAGTTTTGATACCACAGGTAACACAATCCAGTTTCATTTGTACTTCTAACAATACAATTACACTTATAAAGGAATATTATAATTCAATCTATAAGTAAAAGGGCACTACAAAATCTGGTCTGTACCGTGAAAAATAGACAATTAAACTCCCGAAAATTGCATATGAGCCTCGCATTATAAAAGCTCATGTCTCCCCCCGGCCGGTGCCCTAACCTTGACAAACACTCAATTTCTCGATGTACCGATATCCAAAAGACAAATTCAGATCGGATCAACGAGTCCCACTGTACTTCCTTCACACATCCAAACTAAAAAGTACACTTATCTCCGTAAAACACAATGTGAGATGGTCGCCTCACCGGTAGGATTAGAGAATATAGATGTACGTAACATAGTGTTGTAAGAATTTTGTTTAATCCAAGTTATTTCCTGTTTGTGTAACGAAACTGTTGTAAGTAATAAAAAGAGTTTTTTATTTTGTTATAATTGTTTGGCGTGGTGTGTAAGGTCTACTCGAAAACACAAAAGGTAGTACGTCGGATCTCTTAATTCGTTTTATGTAACCTTTTATTTCTTTATCTTCTACATTGTAGTAATGTGAATAACACAATCTTGGTGTCCGTTCCTTCGAATTTCCTTTTGATAAGAGGGCTGGGTTTTATTTTCCCCCAAATAATCCTTTCGAATAAAAACAAATTGAGTAGTAATCATTTGTTAATGTCTTTTTTACATTGCGGATCGGCTTTTTTCCTTTACAAACCGTTTAGCGTAATAAATTTATCATGGACGATTATACTTTCCCGTGAAATTACGTTTTTTACCTCGTGAACAGTAACGAAAAACCTTTCTCTTATGTACTTCTCATATTTATTACCAGACCAAAGAAGTGTGTAACGTGATTTCTTTCATAATGTTTATTTTTGTTCTTGACTGGTAAAACTTAGTTATGAAAAAATAAGAGAATAAATTAAAAACAGGTATGAAATACTATATGACATTAAAAAAAGAATAAAGTTTAAAAGGGTGATTTGTAAAATATCCATAAAGAAAAAGTAAATCTGTTTACAGTTCTGTTTCATATAGGTGTTGAGAGATGTATCCATAGATCTCTTCATGTTGCTCTCAAAGTGCACCAGATTGATGCTTTCAACTTCAATATTTAAAAATAAATCTTCCCGGGGGAGCTTGCCCCCAGACCCCCCTATGTGAGGTCCACACACCACCTATAAAAATAGCACTTTACCCCTGCTTACACCTATATGCCGTGAGCTGATTATCGAGCCTTCATTGTAACAGTCGCGGGTACGTTGTGTACAGTATATGTGTGGGGATTGTTGCAGTAGAAAATTCCACTGTAGCGCCCGGTACATTAATGGGAAACCCTAAATGTTTGAGCACCCTCTATGAAACGTCAAGCTACCCCACAGCACCCCCAAAATAAATCTCTGGCGCCACCACTGAGCCTGACTATTTGTGTTGGGGGGGCCCCGACTTCTTTTTTTCTCCAAAGGGGGGGCCTGACAGAAAAAGTTTGAGAACCACTGGTTTAGCCCATAAAGGCATGCGCTGCTTATATGAAACATGGCTTGCTTTTAGTGGAGTTTTTTCTTAATGCTTTCTGTGCAATAGTTGTTTGTTTTAAAGCCCCGTCAGGTGGGTTGGACCGGGTCATTTTGTTTTCACCTACTAAACAACAATTAGAAATGGATTTCACATTAGGGAGTGCTGTTCAGGGCCAGTCATGCAGTGGGAGTTACGAGCCTCCGTGTTCACCCCAGCTCTAATGACCTGCTCACACCAGGGCTTCAGGAATTCCTCAGCTTTTCTCTGCTCGCACAGGCCTCTCAGCTCGGGTCAGCCATCACAAAGATGGTTACGTATTGACTTGACCTGGAGCTATCATTTAACGATTGGCACTAAATGCATACAGTGAGTTAGAATCTGAGAATATTATTAGCCAATAGATCAATATGCAGTACATTGTCTGGCATCCATTTGGAGTTACTGTGTTACAGAAACAAGGTTGTCTTATGTTCCTATGTGAATCATATAACCCATATCTAGTGTTTAAATGCTCCCTGTTCCTCACTTGTTTAGGGCACCTTCTTCAATGAACACAGAACTCATTTTCAAGTTTGTAACTATTTCAGCTCCAATCATCCTGACTGAACTCATCACAGAGACATACACACTTAAAGCTACATCCAGTGGATCCTCACTCATGCTAGATATTCACCTTGTGCACTAATCTGACTTGTGATTGGGTTTCTTTGGCCCTGGAGGTCAGCTTTACAGTTAACCTTGTTTTTGGCACAGATGGAGGGAGGACGAGGCGGCTGGCAGACAGAGCTGGTCACCCCTGCTGCCACGTGAAGCCAGATTGCTCGCTCTCAGTCATGAGAGCTAGTTCACAGGGACATGCAATGTATTCATAAAGCCTGGCTCATCATAAAGGGAGCCCCAGCTAAAAGAAGTGGGAACACCACGCTCTGTTTTCAACGCTAATTTACTGTGAAAAGAGACACACATCATGCAGAGAATGGGCCTTTAATTCATCTTCCTGCCCTTCAGAAACGATGGGCCTCTTGCTGAAGTTGTCAACTTTAAAAACTGTGTGCTGCCAGGTCGACTAGCTCTTGGAACAATCAGATTCAACATAACTTTGTGAAGTGTATTACATGTATTCATCTCCTCTGACAAATGGGCATATGGATGTTAAAGCATTGCTTGCTAAATCAGATAATTCCTCTGAGATTTTAGAAATGATAATATCAAGTGGAGTGTGAGTGCTGAGTGTGGAGGCGCTCGCAGACACAAGATCACACACCTCATGTGATATGAATTTTCCTGAGCTGAAGTGCTTTGAATCCTGGCCAGAGTCAAGCCTGGTGTGATTTAAAAAAAACAGAGCAAATGTTGCCTTGGTACATAAAGTACGTTAGCTGTACCTCTCCCCTGGGAGGGAAAACACATGAAAGAGTGTTTTGATCTGAATATCAAAAGGGCCAATCTGGAGGATATGGTATCCGGATGTATGTCAGTATGACAGGCATGTCGTAAAGATCTAAAGGTCCTAATGCCATTGAGTCACATATTCTCTACCACAAGTGCATTAAAAGATTATTCAACAATAAGCAGAGTTGTTCTGTCCTTCACTACTGAGTGACATTTTTTATTTGAATTAAGATTTTATCTCTAACAGAATGCTGCATGGATAACGTATTTTTGAAAGCCAACCAGGAAGTTAGCATCCCCCTGGTTCCCTCGACCATAAGCAGTAAATGCTTCAAAATTCACGAGTGTAGTATTTACTGACATATTTTTGTCATAGAACAAAACATGAGCATCTATTGTCATGGTGACGATCATCCTGATTGAAGCTGTCTAACCAAAAACAAAGAAATTGAAAAACATTAACTTTGAGACGAGGAACCAAAAGTAAATAACTAATCTAAACTCATTTAGCAAACTCATTTGTGGGTTTAAGGACTCCTCTGTGCTGTCGTTAATACCATTTTTACCACAGAATGAATGGAACACCATGAAGAAAGAGAGGCCTTCCTATACTGTACTCGTGATTTTAAAGCATGATGCTGTGGTTACATTTGGTGTTTTATTTCTATGCTAAGTTCAACTTTTTTTTGTTATTGTTTGAATAACAAAAATACCCAAAAGATTTCAGTTAATAAAAAAGTCCACTGTCAATCTGAAATGAAACTTATATAATTCATTGATGAACAGTTTTTCTGCATCCATAATATGTAACACATTCTCAAAGCTTTGATGGTACAGCGCAGTTAGTGTGCGTCCTTTTTCCGTTGTAAATGAGTCATTCCAAGTGAAGCTGAGCGAAAATGAAAAGCAGCAGCAGCATTAAACCTCCTCTCTCACCTGCGTAGCGTAGAGGAGCATCCTTGTCCAGTGCAATTAGAGGAGGGTCCAGCAGTACCCTATCATCGTTTTCCGTTACGATCCCATGGTACGTCGTCTCGATCCATGGTTTGTGCTTATTGACTGTGAGGAACAAAGAGAGGAAATGTCAGTGCCTATTAAAGAAAGTCTACACAAATCATTTCTGTCCGGTGTTGAGAAGTTCCAAATGGTATCTTCATTTTCCTCTCACCGGCACTAATTATCAATTTGCATATTGGTTTTGTCCTTTTAATAACAATGTCCTATTTTGTCTTTGTCTGAATGTCCTGTTGGTCTGTAAATGATGTTGTATTGCTGTTATTTCTTAACCAAGTCTGCTTTTAGAATAAAAACCCCTTTCTCAATTACATTAGGTGACTGTGGCTGCGAGGGAGTGCGGTCGTCTTCCAACCGGAAGGTTGTGGGTTCGATCCCAGCCCATGCAGTCAACATGTCGATGTATCCTTGGGCAAGATACTTAACCCTGAGTTGCTCCCGATGGCATGGCCAACGGTGTGTGAATGTGTGTGAATGTTAGCTAATGGGTGTGAATGGGTGAATGACATGTAGTATGTAAAGCGCTTTGAGGAGTCTTAAAAAGACTGGATAAAGCGCTATATAAGTACAGTCCATTTACATTACCTGTACAAAAGGATAAAGAAATGTAATCAATTTTTTTCTGAAATGCAGGTGAGAGTGCATATTTTATGAGGTTTTGGAAGCTTTTATATTATTGCAGTGTTGTAAAGCACACTATTCTCCATCCTACAATAAACTAATGTTATATGTTTTGATTTATCCATACTGAAGACAAGAGAATGTTATGATATAGCTTTCTACGGCAGTAAAGTTACAAGAAATAGACTAAACCACCATCCATATCAGTTAATGGCTTTCAACAGGGGCATCAAAGGGATGATAAAGTCTATGGTGAGGACATTTGCTTGTAGAGCAGTAGTTTAGCTATTTACAGCTTTATGTGCTAGTCGGCCTGGGAAGCATCCTAGCTGCAGACAGGGCTCTGTGGTAGCTAGCGTTTGCGGAAAAAGCTGCAGTGAGTGACAGATTTGGGCTGGCTCAGAACACAGCGTTGACACAGGGGATATGCAGCTCTCTCTTCCAGCCAATATGTGCTCACTCCAGAAAAAGAGGAGATCATGGAGTTACTGTGCTACTGATCTGCAAAAGTGATGCTAACTCTGGCTGACAGAGCATTGTGGGAAACAGAATCAGGCAACCTGAACAGGCACATTTCATAAAAGGCAGGAAGGTAACAAAAGGGCTGGAACGTCAAAATCTGTATAAAGCTCTGTGTTTTAATTTAAAACTGCATTTATTTGCAGATTTTACTTTTGCGAGAAAAGGATAATTAGCTATACAGTAACAGGCATGTGCTTAGTCTTTATTCATCATAGCTACCATGTATTAATAATGTCATGTGGCATACACTACTTCTGTTGTCTCCATTATAAACTGTGGTTAGAATAAAAGTTACTTTTCCTTTATAGTGTATGTGAATGGAAATGCACAGCATGAGCAGCTTCATCCCAAACTGAAGCACATCCTCCAGCCCAGGTTTATCTCATTCCCACACAACGACACACTCGAAAATTCATCTGAACAAGCGACATTGTTTAACTAGAGGGTGGATTAATAACTGTACTACAAAAGGCTGCTGCCATTCGAGCATTTGCTGAGGCTACCAAACTGTACAGTTGCTGTCTTCCAACACCTACAATTCTTCTAAGTCGTCTCACATCTCTGACCCAAAATGCTCGCCCAGAAAAGAAGAAGAAGAATACATGGTTAAATGATCTCTGTGGGGAGGTAACCAACAATTCTAATTAAAACATGTTTTGCAAAGTGAATTCAATCCATTGTTGTGCTGCAGTAAGCCTCAACATTACAGATGTATCATCTGACTAATAGAAAGACGCCCCGTGTTCAATAACACCATATGTGCTACAATTACATTATGAACTTTAAACAGAAACCACATAAAGACAAACAAAAACACGATGTGGATGTTCAAAGGCGACTCAAATCTTCTGCTTATGCCTTTACATAATTTAGTATAATTCTCAGTTATTACATGATCAACAAAGAATAATTATAAGCCCCAGCCCCGCACACCCCAGCACGTGCACTCCGCTTTGCATCAGCCAAACAGCTCGCTGCACCCGCACTGCGAGGGGGACCCAAGTTCCCATCAGCAAAAACACGTGGGTTTGCTATCCTGGCTCCAAAATGGTGGAATGAGCTCCCCATTGAAATCAGGACAGCAGAAAGCTTACACATCTTCCGGCGCAGACTGAAAACTCTTCTCTTTCGACTCCACTTCGAGCGATATAATGACTAACAGAGCACTTATATACTAATAAAGGGCTGGCTTATCTAAAGCCAGTTGAGTAGCACTTGAAATGTTTGGCTCTATGAAACCTGATGTACTTATATGATTCTGTTTTCTTCAAGGTTGTATCTTCCTGGTCGAATGCACGTATTGTAAGTCGCTTTGGATAAAAGCGTCAGCTAAATGCAATGTAATGTAATGTAATAAGCTACTTGCACAGGATTGGAGGGGATGTGTGCATAAAAAATGATTTAGTCAATTTTTTTAATGAGAAAAAAGTAAATAGGTTCTTATGGCTTAATAAACAACATGCGTGCTGCAGTTTTAAATCATTTAATTATGTGACAACTGTTAATTCTTTATTCAAAACCATGGATGTACAATGTTTGCTCGTCTTGGCAGGAAATAGATATTATGCATTAAACGTGGTGAGAACAAGTATTTTTGGATAATCTAACCTACACAAGCAGTGCTTAGTAAGAACGTGTTGCTTTGTTTGCCAGTGGTTTAGGATTGATCCGTCCCAATAAATGGTTTTTACTGAGCGTCTTGTGACCTGAAGTGAAGTGGATGTCTTTAGAGACAGAATCTGCTTTAGCCTCCACAGAGTAAACTGTTTGCCAGGTCTAGGGCTGCTCAATTAATCGTATTTTAATCGCAATTACGATTTTGGCTTGCAACGATTACGAAAACAACGTAATCTAAATAAAACGATTTATTTTTTTTATTTTTTATTTTTTTTAATTTTTGTATTGGTTTTTCAGTTTAATTATACTTAAAGTTCAGGGTAATCAACTGTTAAAAAACATACTGTTCACATTTTTCTTTTCAATAAATGGATGTTTTCAAAGTAAATGGATAATCGTTTTTAATAATCGTGATATCAATTATTGACGCAAATAATCGAGATTATGATTTTTGCCATAATCGAGCAGCCACATGATCACATGTCACATGTGGGCCTCACACTCATCAGTCGCTCATGGCCTTCAGCACTGACGAGGGGTGAACCAGGACCGGAGCTGAATGGTAAAATGTCAAGCCGCATTCTCAGAGCTCCTGCAGGTTTATGCAAAACATTTCATCCTAATCTTTCCACCAGGAAGGACGGCTGCCTGACTGTATTGTGCGTAGTTTAATATCATTTCCCATAGTCTAAAAAGCCTTATGTCAATTTGATTAGCACCTTTTTCAAACTCGAATTAAGAGCAAGGAACTACAAAAAACTACCACTTTAGAATGTGCCTGTCATACACTGTAAAATAAAACTGCTGCAAAGTCTGACAAAGACGCACCAATACCCAAGAATGGTCTGAGATGGGCATCACAGATCAATTCAAAAATCACATAATGCAGGTATCCTCACAGATAGTACACTCACTGCTGAGCTGAAAACATGACTTAGGTGTATGTATGGGAACAAAGAAGGCAGACCCAGGAGGCTTTTGACACATTTAAAAAGCAAACCGCTATACCACCGGTTGAATTCAAAGCCTCTTTCACTCACACAAACGTCTCAGGAAATGGCATCTAAAGCGCAGTTTTATTTAAAGCGTGAAATTCTCGAATACATTGTGTGAAATCGCCAACAAGGCCCTTTTGACAAGATGGCTTCATCATCTCACTGCAAGCCCTCTGAGCATTTGTTGCCCTGTGAACATTTGACAGAGCAGCAAAGACATTATTTTCACAAAATTTTGAAACATCCTTGTTTTGGAACCAGTTATTTATAACACTATCAACAAGTTAGGATTTCTGAGATTATAAAGGAGAGACTCTCGGTATTGTAAGGGAGGGACTTTTTTCGTGAGGGGAGGCTTTAGTTTAGGATTTAAAATGGAATGAGATTAGGAAAGGGGCTGTGAAATGTTTGAGGCAGTCTAAGGAGGAAGACGCTGCAGCAGCACTGAGGATGCAAAGTGTAAAAGACTGGCATTTTCTTAATCTAACTTAATTAGAAAACCAATTCATCTAATGCAGTGGTCACCAGCCTTTGTAAGCCCAAAATCACCGACCTCGGCCTAGGTGAAAGGCGAGATCTACCTATTGCAGAATTGAGTGAAAAAGACGGCCCAGACAGTGCTTCCAATTTGAGCCCTTTTATATAGGCTAATTGCATCTGAATTACTGTTACAATGAAGGCTCCATATTCAGCTCACGGCATATAGGCAGGGGTAAAGTGCAATTTTTTATGAGTGGGGGGTGGACCTCACCTCCTCTAGGGGGGTCCTCACCTCCTCTAGGTCCTCACCTCCTGTAGGGGGTCCGGGGGGATGCTCCCCTGGGAAGATTTTTTTTTAAATATTGAAGTTGAAAGCATCAATCTGGTGCACTTTGAGAGCAACATGAAGACATCTATGGATACATCTCTCAGCACCCATATGAAACAGAACTGTAAACAGATTTACTTTTTCTTTATAATAATAATAATAAATTTAATTTGTTAGCGCTTTTACAGGTGCTCAAAGACGCTTTACAGATATAGTGAAGAGAAAATATATATATATATATTTTTTTATTCTCAATTTTGATCTACGAAGGCCAATTGTACTGTGTGTTTTGGTGGTAAAGGGGGTTACTTTTGTGTATGTGTTTGCACATGTTGTTATCAATGTTAACCAATAATAAAGTTGATAACAAAATAATATATTTAATAACTATTTCATAAACACAGTGTATAGGGAAATGCCCTGTGCTGTCATGACCAATATCAATATATCCACCTGTATCGGGCTATGAGACTCTAAGCACAGCAACGCACTCAACTCTTCTGCCAATAGAGCAGCATTTACCAGGCTTATCTGGATTATATTTGTTTAGTAGGGTCAACACACACAGGTGAACCTTTCACACTGATGGTTCAACAACACAAATCCAGGGTCACTATTCCTGTGTTAGAGGGTTCAGAGAAACAAACAGGCGCCCAGCAGAACAAAACATGAGGCCCGACTGGTAAGGCAGGCCCAGAGCCGCCCCAACGTCACGTGTTCCTCGGTGTATGTGGCTCGACTTGTATGCAGTTGCGATGGAATAAGCGGGATGTTTTTATTGACACTTTTCAAATGTGATTATGCTATGTTCACACCTCTCAAATTTTTTTATAATAAAATACATGTTTTTTTTTTTTTTCATTCATCATAATACTCCTTAGGGTTTGTTTCCCTTTGTTCTCATGTGCTGCTGAACAGTAAAGGGGGTTTAAAAAGTCGCCCTGATAATTAAAGTTATAAGGCTGGTCATATTCTACATTGTCAACCATTCCATTAAAAACGGCAATGTGTTAGTACGTCTCGTAATATTTGTACATGTATCCTAAACTGAGTCACAGTAATTGTAAATTACAGTGTTCATGGTCATTATTATAAAGGAACAGTGATCTGTGTTAATAAGAAACATTTAGATCGCCAACAAATCAAACATCTTATTTAAGAGTGCAACACAATTTTAATGTTATTAAAATAAATATTTAACCATGGCAAAAAGAGAAAAAAACACATTTCCCACACCCCTGTAGAAACCTGTCATTAGTGTAGACCTATGGATTTGTAGAGTTCTTTTAAAAGCCATTTTTAAAAGTTTAGTTTGAGAGTTTTGCTTGAAACAATTAACACAGGCAATCTAATCCTCGTGCATGCATAATAATGCTATTGTGATGTCCATATTAAATAAACTAATTACTATCCTTTAATCACCAGGTGAAGTATGTTAACATTCTCTTTATGTTTGTCTCTCGCACAGGGCAGTAACTTGTTTCTGGCCGACTATGATGGACGCACGCCGCTGCATATTGCCGCCTGTGAGGGCCACCTGAAAGTGGTGAACTACCTACTGAGTCATGGAGCTACAGTCTATGCTAAAGATCGCTACGGCGACACACCCCTTTGCAACGCTGTGCGCTTCAGGTACGGCTCGCCTCATTTTGAACAATAAGGGCTGTTTTTCTAAGTAGTAATGGAATCCATGAAATTGCAAACACATTTAAAATTCCCCTTTGTCCATAAGCAGCCATTTGAGTATTCTTGAAAATATGTTGTTAATTGCTGCTAAAGAAGGGAGTTGATTAAATGAGCTGCTGCTAGGTAGGGACTCTGGCTCTGAGTAAATGACAGAAAGGGAGCTGCGGCTGTCAGAGGGGGGGGAACCAGGGGAACAACTCTAATGGAGTTTAGAGGCCAAACAATAATTATAAACTAATTAGGCTAGTTGTCAGCTGAGATGCTGTTTATTTTTACCAAAGTTATTTATTTTTTCTCCATGTCATTAGTTGACATTGCTCTGAATGTCTATCAAGGGAAAGCCGCTCTTAATGTTATAGTGTAAGCCTCAGGGTGAAATCGTTGTATTTGCCTAAGCTGAGCCAAATGGCTCTTGTCCTATTTTAACGGTTGGTACTGCAAGTGTGGACTTGTTTCCTTTGTGATGGTGGAGGGATGCATCGGAGCGTCGACACCTGTCGTTACACTTCCGATGCTACACACCTCTGCTTGCTTTGCCCTGTCTACATTTATATCATGAAAAGGCAGTAAGTCATAGAACTGGAGTTTTGAGTTTGAGCCGTAAGGTTGACACCATGTCTGATACACTTTGAATGTCACAGACATTTCACAGTGCACCACAGCACAATGCCCATATAAGGAGTGGCGGAAAGCGTATTAAAAAAAAGGGTGAAAGAACAAATATGGGGAGTGTCCCCTAAACCAGTTCCACCAACCTGTTCCCAGTTTCACAGATGAGAGATACTGGCTTCTTTACGATCTCTACAGAATGTTTTAAAAAAACCTTTTTAGTTCTTTACGTGACTGTGCCTATGGAAACCTTTTTAAACACTTTAGCATTCATTTCAACTGCAGGTTAACTAATGTTGTAGCAAGCCAAGCAGCTAATCCCCGCAGCTCAGAAACCTATTTAAAGTTTTTTTCTCGTAATGAAAGTTTCCTGTCACCACAAGTGTCACTGCAGGTGACTCCTGCGTGGGTGTTCATGCACGGGCTAAGGAACTTGTTTTTACATGCCAAACTACAATCGCTGCCAACGGCTCTGTCAAAGAAAGTACATCTAGTCTTCCTAAAGGGAGTTAAAACTACCTATTGCATTATGACATGTTTCTTGCCAATACAATAACAAACTGAGTGTAGACAATTGGAAGATAAATTAGAAAATAATGATACTTGTAATAATCTCACTTGTCCAAGTATTTTCTTTTTTATATATTTGTTAACTATTTAGTCCAATGCTTACAATGTGTACTGATAAGCAGATACATCACGGAAAATACAAAATGTATGTTAGGGAGTAAAACATAAGTGGTTTTCTTTACATCTATGTGATGTCCGGCAGTGGCTCAGTTAGTAGGGGCTTGGACTGAGAACTGTAGGGTCGCCGGTTCAAGTCCCTGACCAGACCTAACATATGGAGTGTGGACTGCTACTTGGAGAGGTCCCTGTTCACCTTCTGGGCCCTGCCATGGTGCCCTTGAGCAAGGCACTGGACATCCCCCTTCCCCCCTCACTCCCATTGCTCCCCGGGCGCTGTACAATAGCTGCCCACTGCTCCTAGTACTAGGATGGGTTAAATGCAGAGAACAAATTTCACTGGGTGTTTCTCAATGTCGAGGAGGCTTGCTTGGTAGCACATGTACCTCCGAGTGAGTTCCTTCAGAAGCGAGGCAAGAATACCTCCTAGCCTCGGAAAACAAAGAATGGAACAGGCTAGCAAGTGTGCAGGTGTGCGTCATATGAGAGGCCCCGCCTTACATTTTCCGCCAAAGATTTGGAAAATTGGTCCGTGCGCAAAGCATTGTGGGGATTTTAAGACCGGAGTCTACACATGCGCTGCCTCGAAATTTCCTGCAACGAAGTACGCTGGCCCCGGTAGAATTCCAAGTATCCTGGACATTGGAACAGTCCTTCGGCGGCACTCGATGACATAGCATCCTTGAAATAGTGGCTCTGGAGCAGCTTTCCTCGACATTGAGAAACACCTACTGTGTGTTCTGTGTGCTCTGCATGTGTGACCATTTAAAGAGGGTTTCATCCCTGCCAATTCTTCTAAATATCCATAGGAAGTCTTAGAGATATGGTCTGTTTCTCATGTTACTTTTATCAACTCGCTATCAACTCTCCTTTTAGATATTGTTACCTGACTTTGACTTTCTTAACGGCATTAAAGAGGTTATGATTTCAGTATATGCTGGTTTTAACTGAATGATAAATAATATATCACATATAAAGAATCAAGAATATAACTCTTTAGCATGTCTTCTCAATAACTTAGGCACAAGGAGGTGGTGAAGCTGCTGAGAAAGACCGGAGCGCACTTCTCCAGAGACAAGTTGGAGGAAGCAGGAACTGAACTGTGCAGGTGAGACACACAAAGCACGTCTTGAAACAATTGCACACATAAACAGGCACAAATTCTGTGTTGATCAGCCATCATCGCAGTGACCCATCCTACATAGCTGACACAGGTTCAACCAGTTGTCCCACTGTTGCACAAACTGTAGGAATGCTCCCCGGCTGCATTGCTTCAGATCTGTTCTGTGTCTCAATAGAACGACACACCGTATGCTCCTGTTATTCATCTCACTGAGAAACCCAACAGGTTTTGTCAAGAGAGATCCAATTTACAGTTTCAGAAACACACCTTAAGTTGAATTATGATCAGCATGGCTTGCTAGCTATTAAAACAAAACGATAAGTCAAGAAGTTCAGCATTATTAATGTATTGCCTTGATGTGCTGGCCAAGTTCCAGAACAGTCTCTTTACGCAGCAACTTGTTCTTCACCCAAGTGACTTTTTGATTGTTTTTAGTTATTATTTTGGTAAACAGAACCCTTTGCTGTGATAACTCATTTCATGTCCTGTGTCAGCCTGACAGTCAGCGGGGACATGGAGGGCCTGGAAATCTGGAGCCTTGCCGGAGCCGATCTGAATCAACCAGGCTACAACGGGCAGTCAGCAATTATAATGGTGGGTGTGATATGAAGTGGAAAACTTTAATAACACAGTTCATAAAGTGAAAACCCATCTTATTCATTATGCTCATGTTTTCACCTCTCACAGGCTGAGGCTGCTGGCCTGTTGGAAATGGTGGCCTTCTTACACCAACTCAAAAATAAGGTATCCCTAATTCTAGCTTCTTCAAACCTCCATGCGTCATATTTCTACATCTGTCAAACACCCACATAATCACCTACTTTCACACCAATGTAACTCTCAGATTGATTTCATTCTGTCTATAATTTCTTCTTAATTACTGTTTTGTTTTGTGTAATTTCAGACAGTAATTGGTGAAGATGATGATGATGATGATGTAAATAAGATGTACTGTATACGTGTTTCCCAGTTTGTGCATGTCCCATATTGAGCATGAAAACCCCTTCATACCCTTGTGCCTATTATTGTTATTATTACTATTGCTATGATATTATTTTCAGAGATGCATCGAACTATCAGCTTGATTTACATTTCTGTGCCGAGCTAATTTTCACTTATGTTTTGCTCTGTAGACCTAAAATAGTAGAGATGCACCGATTGCAATTTTCTTAGCCGTTTCCAATTTCCGTTTCTTAAAAAGTCTGACTCGCCATTTCTCTTTGTAGAACTAAAATTGATATACACAACAATTTTCTTTAATGGAAAATGTAATTGCAAATTCATACATATAAGAGTCATGGAAAATGTGGTATACTCTGAATGTAGGCCTACAGAGCAAAACATAAGTGAAAATGAGCTCAGCACAGAAATGTAAATCATGCTGATCGATGCATCTCTGAAAATAATATCATAGTATACTATAATATCAACCGTCCATTCATCCATATTATAAACTGATTATCCTGCCCAGAGTTTTGCCTTGTGTATCCCAGCATGCATTGTACACGAGGTAGTCAAACACTTCACAAAAAGGTCTCATTTGTTTCTGCTGTTGTTCAAAACAAGGGACAAGCAACAGTGCTAACCACCAACGGCCTATGCAGTAAAATGCATTAAAATGTAGAAATATGGTCTGATAAAGATTTCGCGGAAAACTGGTAATTGTTTTTGTAAATACATTTCTAAAAACGGAATAAAGTGATTCATAGGTTAATTGAATCAGAAACTATCTTTCCATGAAAAATTTATTTTGTGTAATTTCTGTTTTGCCCCTTTTTTTTTATACCATCATAAATCCAGTCCTGTGAGATTGTGACCCTTTTTCTATACTTTATGATTTTTAATGGATACATATTAGATTCTTTGAATTGAAAAACACAACATCAAACCTTAATTCAAATAATTGTTAGTTGCAGCCCTGGTTTTGAGAAGCAACATTTAGGCTAAGCATGTCTCAGACCTCTCTGCTTCTTCAGCGTGTGTGTGTGTGTGTGTGTGTGTGTGTGTGTGTGTGTGTGTGTGTGTGTGTGTGTGTGTGTGTGTGTGTGTGTGTGTATAAACACCCCTCTCCAGTGCTGCCTGTTAATCCTGTCTCTTGTTGTTTCCGTGCAGAGCGAAGGGATCGAGTTCATCGCCGCCCCGACAGGACAGTGAGCTGACGCTGCCTCCACCAGCAGGAATCTTCCTCCCAAGCCGTCCTCTACACACCGTCCTATTGAGTTTCAGAGTTGTTCGCACTTCGAATGCTTTAGATTTGACTTTTTTTTTTAAAGCCATTACTTATGTTTCCCTCCAAACTCCAAGCCAGCACAACATTATTCAGACACTGCTTTCACTAAAATATGCCCCAAAAAGGGCAACATTATGTATACGTTTGATTGTCGCACAGTAGTATACGTATGTATGTATAAGGAGAAACATTATCATCCTTAATGTGAATGTTCAATCAGGGATAATTGTGAAATTCACCCGTTTTTAGCATGGAGAGTGCTATAACCTCCCTTTACTTCTTCAATGGAGGATGGTTGTTAAATACATTTGTATAATGTACTAGGGATGGGAATTTGAAAGCAAATGAATATTCGACCCCCAAAAAAACGGTTAACCGAAATGTGTGTGTATATATATAAATTTAAAAAAGTGGGAATTTTTTATATAAAAAATAATTTGGAAAAATAAATACATGTTCAAATAAAAATTACAATAAAAATATTCATAGCTCATTTGAATACCTGAATAATTTCGAATATTCGATGAATCGTTCCCATCCCTAATATGTACTAAAAGAGTTAAAGAACCCTGACTGCTGTTACAGTACTTTACAAAGTTGTGTGTGTTGCTGTAGCAATATATTAAAAATATCTTAAACTACAGGGTACATCACAGATTTTATTTTTATGGGTATTTTTACAATGAGACGCTAGAGAGTATCATGTTAACTCGTGAAAATAATGTTATCTTTATTGCATCTGGGATGTTATTCAACTGTAGCTCTTGTCCACTGCCCTTTCCATTTCCTGTTGCTAAAACAGGTACAACCAAAACCTGCAGTCACCTCTCCGACTCATCCGGCCTGTTTGCTGCACTGATTACCGAGCTTGAAGAGTGGCATATCTCACTCTGAGATGGACTGGGGGAAATTTAGACTATTGTTTGAGCCAGATGAAGACTCCCAGTTTCTGTATTTTCTTTTACTTTGCGTCAACGATCACAAAAAAATGACTTACTTTTCTTTCCTTATCTTTGTTCTGTACTGTGTAAATGGTGTCAAACATATCTACTTTTGTTTGCTTTTCTGTGATTAATGTGATTTTTAAAGTGCAATGAAATGACATGAAAATGTTCCTGCTGCAATGCTTTGTTATTGTCCCGATGTTGTATTTACAAAGAGTGTAAAGGATGGTCTTCTTCCTTCTGTGTAAAAAAAAAAAAGAAAAGCAACAGAAATAAATCTCTTGTATCAAAGTCATGTCTCCTGTGATTGCTACTGAAACTGAAACTCACATGAAACTGCATAAATTGCTCCTGGCTAAAGACTCCTGAGCAATTTCCAATTTGACATGGTTCCTGTTAAAATTAGCATGCGTCCAACCAATTTTTAAAGCTATTTTTTCTTAGTGTACACAGAGTCCCTTTGTGTTCTCTAAAGAGATGTGTTCTGAATAATAATTGGATTCATTGTGACTGCATTGGGCGTTTAGAACTGATTCTACATCAAACCCAAACGTAGAGCTTTCTGTGAACTCTCACTGTCTGAGTGTGAGATAAATCAACAAGAAATGAGAGAAACTAAGAAGACAAAGATGACATTACAAATTCCATACGTCCATGTGACTTGTCCGTCTGCAGTTGCTGGTATTTGCTATCTCAGTCTTCAGGGCGGCTACCCCGCCACGCTCATTGCTGGAACCCAGCTCAGCCGGTTGGACCAGCATGGGCCTCATTCCTCGCTGAATGAGAGACTTGTATGAACCTGGCCCTAAACAGTATATAAAGAGCTTAGACTCTGCAGTGATTCAGTCTGGGCTGGGATGGCACCTACGAAACAACACCACGAGGACAGAGCTCACCTTCCCCAGGTAAGCACAGATTTGACTACTCATCTCTGTAGATTTCTTCAGGGACTTGTTTCAAATCCACGTAGTCATGTGTTCACTACCAACAGATCATTTCAGGAAACTAATTCTGTCTTCTGTTTGTTTTTATTCTAGTGGAGACAACAGTTGAAGGACAGACTTTTCCCTGAGGAAGCTTGTGGTCCCTCTGATTAAGTGGTTCTCAACAGTTCAACAGTTCTTTACAAAAATTGTGAAATGTTTAGGACCACTTGACCAGTCAGACAAATGCTGCCAGTTTGGGAAAATGCTGCCTTCGAATGGATCTTTAAAAAGGAAAACGACTCTCAAGGCCTTTATGTAAAAGCAACTGTGTGATTTCTTCTGGTTCTCTGTTTCTTTACTGTCTTGCTCTGTCTTTTACTCTCATTTTGGCCTCTTGTGTTTCATTACCAACTGCAGTCCGGGAGTTTGGGGGATTGTAAAAGTCATCAGGCTTTAGTCATTTAACTTTGCTGGCAAACATATACATTTTTAACAGCTCTGCTGCTGCAGTAACATTCGTCTTTCCTCTTTTTTACTGGTGCCTCTATTCAGATACTGATTAAAACAAGTCCATAAAGAACCATTTATCTCTTTTGAGTCCATAAAGGATGACAGGCCGAGAGTCTTCATGAATGGTTGCTATCCAAAGTACTGAAACTAGTATATCTGTTATCATTTTCCACCTTATTTTCCAGATTAGAAAGAGAATAATTCTGTCTATTTTTGGCCAATGAAGATAAATAATTAGCATATGATATTTTTGTGTTAATATTACTGCTTCATTGTTGAATAATATGCTCCTGTAGTTGTTTACAGTTGTGCTCATTTTAACTCCTTTATATACAGTTGGATAGTGTAAGCAGCAATGAGTCATATTCAGAGTCTCGTGAGAACCCTGTATCTCTAGAAAGTCAAGTTTTCATGAGCTCAGAAAAACAACCCTGTTTGACACCCTTCTCACCGAAACCTGACATACACGGCATTGTCCTGGATAAGGAGTTTTAATTTATTGTTATTTATTGTATTATTCCTATTTTTATTTATGTATCTATGAACCTTTCCTGTAACTTTTTCTGTACATGTTATTTTTTATTTTTTTGTTAGCTGTGACCCTGGAGGAAAACAGGTTGGAGTGGTAGTATCAGGGAGGGGTTGATAGTAACACTTATTGCCTTGATGTGCTGGCCAGGTTTACATACATGTATAATTGACTGTCCTATATTGAAAAATACTAATAAAAAGAGATTAAAAAAACAGCCTTGTGACGATGCATTCATAATCCAAATAGGTTTTTAGATAGTTAATATTACTTTCAAGGTTGGATAATTTTTTCAAGCGGTAAAGGAACACTTCCATCCTTCAGTTTATCACAAACATTTTAATTAAAAATCTCCAAATTAGGTAAATGTGCTTAGTTCCATTCTATCACTGGACATGAGTAATATATTTCTGCTTTGAACCTGCTTTAAGACACACTTCCTGGACTTTTGCTGTCTTTGTTAAACTGATCAAACCACTGATAAGTCCAAATCTGGACTCACTTAGACTGTCAATGACTTGATTAAATTCCAAACACATGTCTGCATTCTCTTATTTTTGGAACTATAGTTTGATGGGAAAACCAGACCTGAAGACTCAAACTCTGACACAAGAAAATCCGAATGCCCTTTTCCCAAGATATAGCCAGGCTACTTTATACAGCATAAATCATTAATGAAAGCACTGTGCACCGATTATTCCCCCTCTCCTTTTAGACAGCCCCTTCTCCTCTCCCTTTGATCTCCTCTCTGCGCCAAGAACTATCAATATTTGCTAAACGTTTCTCACAAAGCCTGCCGTGCACCGGGAGAAGCTGCAGAGGTCTCACGGGCAAGGGGATAAGAAGACATAGGAGAGGCTTTAATGAGATGCCCGGAGCGATTCCCCTGTGCGTGCGCAAGGGCAGCAGATGTAGCGGCACAGGAACTCCCATGGGACCCCATCCTCGGAATTTCATCAGCGGCCGGGGAGAGACCCAGCCCAGACCTCCTCTTGTGGGGAGGGCCGGGTGACGGTCGTGGTAAATCATCTTTACTATGGATTGTAATTATCGGTCTGCTGACAACCCCTGCCCCCCCCCCTGTGTGTGTGTGTGTGTGTGTGTGTGTGTGTGTGTGTGTGTGTGTGTGTGTGTGTGTGTGTGTGTCGCGCGCGTGAGTGTTGCTGATGAGTCGCGTGGATTGAGAAGTGTTTTGTGGGATAACAATTAATGTATTCATTCTTAAAATATTTATTATTTACCCCCCTGCTCTGCTTTCAAAGCATCATTGTTGGGTGGGTAAATCGTTATTCTTTTAATCATCTTTGACCTTCTCAAAAAACGAAACTTCTGAAAGCAGCACTAACTTTTGTTTCTGTCTCAGTAACCTACCCTTTTGAAATCCAGAAACATTCAATTACATGAATGAAAGTTCTATAAATTATATAATATAAAGCCTGGTTACAACATTGAAAGGATATTGAATGATGGGCATTTACCAAGGGAAGGTTTGATGCGTCATTGGAACAGGAACCAGTGTTTTTTGTAGAAATAAACTGAAAGCCAGGATATCTCAGCATCTCCTGCTTTGATTTTAAACATTTAAAAAAATCTGTGTCTGTGGAGTCCTCCAGCATCATGGTGCAAAACAAAATTGCCTTCTGTTAAAAAGCTCTGAATCACAGTTTTTTATTTTGTTGTCACCTTCAACATGAGTTTGAATGCAGTTTTCCAGCTGTGAATCTAAAACATGTCTCAGTAAGATAGCTGTATACTGGCCCACACTGTCTGTGGAGCAGCTCCACGTTTGGATGACATCATCACTACAGCCTGTCTCTCTGCTGTTGAGCTTCAGGAGAAACTGGTTCAAATGCAAACTGAACTGACATAATGTGAAACATGTTTTTAAATCAGTTTTCCCATTAAAAACACAGTAATTCACATTGACTTCAATACTGCACGGCAGCCTAATTACATTAGCTATACTGAACCAAATGCAACTAATTATTCTATAGGATAACCTCGGCCTGCATGGTGAAGGCTATTCACTGAATATCGACTGGCAACATGGATTTTAGATATACATTTTTTAACATCAATGGCTACAAACCTTAAATTATGAAATATGCTCGAGTCACACAAAGCACATTTTTATTTGATTTGGATAAAGTCTGCTACAAAGAATATTAAAATCAAATCAGTTTTATTTTATTTAGAAAAAATTAACTACCCCTTCAGTTGATCTTCATCATCAATAAGAAATCAAGTGGCTCCTGTCAGATTTCCTCTTGGGAAAATACAATGCTATAAAGCAACACTATAACCATTCATCCTGCAGGGATCTACAGTATAGGGATATTATACAGGAGGAAGACATACCATAAAGTATGCTCTGATGAGGTCATTACTGCTTGCCAGACACCCTATAAGCCCCTACATGAATAGTATAGGAATATTACAGGGAATCTGTCGTTAGGGGTTATTGCCAGGGTTGTCATTGTGCTTTACATCTTCATGTGGGGGCTGACAATGATGCACCAGCAAATCGGGTGGGAGAGCAGGTCATCACTGTCTGACAGGGGGGAGTGAGTGAGTGAGTGAGTGAGTGAGAGAGGGAGGGAGGGAGGGAGAAGGGGGAGTGAGGGAGAGAGATGCTGGAGAACAGAGCAGCACATGCACAAGGTGCTCCATCGCTCTCAGATCTCCAGCGCTCAGAGATCAGGCATGACCAGCCTAGGGATTGCTTAAAAAAAAGTATTTCACTTGGATGTGAACCTTTTTTCTTGCATACCGGATGGATTGTATTGCTTTGTTGTCTTCTCGGACTACTGGAAACCTGAGAGGTGATTTTACGCACACGTGCACACAGCCCTCACCGTGAGTCACTGGATGTCCGGATTAAAAAGCGTTGTGGATCTTTTTGGAGGGTACGAGAGAACTGATTTAGATGGATATACAAATGAAATAGGTTTCCCAAAGAGTGGAATATTTTCTCTAGGCTATACTCGCTGCCCACATGGCTTTGCCAAACTCATCGGGGTCTCCCGGAGCTGAGAAGCCCAACCCCAGTGTCATAGACCTGGGGACATTCTTCGTTGACTCCGATATCATATTTGGATTTACAAGTCATCTGTTAAAGAGAAAAAACAAGGTAAGAGTAACCTAAAGTGATGATTGAAACAAATATAGAAAAGGATGATGCTTAAGAGGCGAGACAGACTGAGGTGCGTCTCCTGTCCGTTACTCAGGACCCTGAACAGTGCCTCGCAGCATCCCCAACGCCCTCTCTTGCTCACTAACTTCATCCTATCTTACTCCAAACCCTAACCAATCATATCTGCGTGTCATTTATCACTTTTAGTCAAATGTTCCTGCGAGAAAAGTGTCTTTGCCATTAATTACATTTTAAAATCCTTAATGATTGTAATGGCCAAAATGCCACTGAAAGGTTTGACAAAAGTTGTTTAATCAATTAGAAGAGGCTAAAAATGAACACCAAGCCGATTTATATTTTCTTAATAACTCTTTGTTGTACTATTTGTGGACTGTAAATGTTTTTAATTACTTGTGTTGCTGTGTCTTAAGACACATCTTTGTGTGTCCTTAAAAAATCTTCGAGTATTTTGCATCCCAACTTGAAATTCTTCAAATAAAATAAAAATAAAATTACAATTAAAGAAATATTTTTATTATTTTTATTTTCCATTTAAATGTGTTGCACGTCATGAGTCTGACAACCAGAGGACAAACGACTATGGGTTTCCCTAAATAGGTCGTTTGAGGGCAGGAAAAGAGAAATGCTTTAGAGCATACTGTCGCTTACATC